TACTCGTACCCAGTGTTTATATTTTGACCATTTAAATGAAATTGTGAAAATCATATTTTCCTCACACTGAATTGTTCTGAGCCTGGGATGCTTGCCTGCGTGGTCCTGTGTAACCAGTGCCCTTCCAGCACTCTACCAGCACTGTGCTTCTCGTGGTTATTGTCCCAACCCTATTTATAAACTTGTTCACTGAGTAAGAAATACTTTTATTATACTTCTGCTATTTATATCTGTTGTCTCTTACTAGCTATTTTTGTGTATCACAAATAACTGAAATAGGGTTTTGTCTTGTGTTGTTTTTTTTTTTATGATTTGTGGCAAGCCTTGTTGACTTCCTTAAGCATATAATAGCCCAGTGTTTTGTTTTAAAGGTTAGGTTAACCTTTTTGCCAAACTGGAATGGGACAGGCAGGGCTCATGACCGTAAGTAGAAATGCCTCAGAGTTGCAGCAAAGTGCGTGCGGGCGGCAGGGCCAGGTAAGCTGTTGTTTGAGCAACTGTTGCTTAGCGGCTTCCTTTGAGGCAGGTTAGGTGCAGAGAGACCACAGGAGGGGACAGAATTCATCTGTTACTGATACTAATTTAGCTAAGAAGCTCTCTGTAATTCTGCTTAAATCACTTTCCTTTTTTTAATCCTTCCTTCTGTAAAATAAACTTTGTGATATACCTGCTGAGGGAGAGGGAGAGTGCCAGAAGGCAGCCTGCTTTGGCACTTGCTCTGCTCTTTGCTGCGCTGCGCTGTTACGAGTAGGAAGTAATCCAAGAGATGGTTGGTTAAGATGATGCAGGGGAAAGAGCGCTAAATACTTGAACAAAAAGGTTGTGTTTAATGAACAGTCACGCTAAGAAAATAAATTCACCTGACAGGATGTGCAGAGCACTTCTAAATTCTTGCAGTTGTCTATTGGCTGTTTGTGTTCAGCTGGGAAAAAATAGGGTTTAACCTGGTGTTTTTTCCCTGGATTACTTCTCCCTTTATACATTTGTAACATCTGAATGTGAGTGATCTAATTTGTGTTTAATTTGTTAATTTGTACCAGAGTTTTCTTAAATGATTTGCAAAACATGCTCTCATACTTTTTTTATGAGCTTCTGTGATGTCAGCTTTTTCTCAGTGTGGGGACATACGTTTATATCTGCAGAGAGCCATGGATTCAGCTTGAGTGACTCCCGGCATCTTGCTGCAGAGTCCAGGAGCTCTGAGCCGCTGTGCATTTTCTGTGCAGCTAGCAGGGAGCAGCGGTCATCTCCACAGGCCGCTGCAACCCAGCAAGGGTTTGACTTATTTTCTGGAGGTGACTATTATTATAAGCAGATCTCTCTCTGTTATTGAAGAGGCGAGAGTGCGTGGTCCATAGAGGGAAGTACAGCATTATGCTGCATTTCAGGCAGGAGTTCTTGAAATTCAGGTATCACTGCTTGAGTCCCAGAAACCTTTCTTAAGTGACACCTTTCTTAATTCCAACATTTTATGTAATGGACTTGAGCTATAAAACTATGGTTATAAAATGTTAACATCTATTAGCTTTTAAAGAAGGGGATTATGGTCTTATCCAGATTAATTAACATGTATCCCTTTTTATATGGCTCTGTGGTATCTTTCAAAGAATCGTAGATACCCCGATTTCATTTTGTCCTATTTTTAAACGAAGAGGAAATGTCTGGTCGCTGTAGGAATTCCTCGCGGTCTGTGTGATGTCTGGAGGAACGTCAGGGACAATGGGACGTGTGGCAGCAAGAACAGAGAGCTAGGTACAGTCACTTTTTCCCATGAATGAAAATAGTTTTTGTTCTGCAAGGTCACATTTTTTCTTTAATCAAGCAGACAGCATATAGTCCTGTGGTCAGGTACAAGTGTCTTCCCCTTGCTGGATTTATTGCTGTTAAATTTTTCAGTACAGATCACATACAAAGCAAGCTGATTAACTCGTTGGGGGAAGCAGTAGTAGCAACGAGAAACAAGAGAAGGGCAAGTTTACACTGAAAGGAAACACCTGAAAATGAGGTGGCAGGAGGAATAAAAGAAACTAGGAAAACTTTAGGTGATGCATGCTATTTAGCAGTCTATACTATGGAACAGCTGAGAGGAGGCCTGTATATTAAGATGGTATTGACCTCAGCTTTCTAAATATTCAAGTCCTGTTTGCAGGAGCTTACTGTTTCTGAAGATTTGTTTGTATTTCGGGGGCCTTGTTTATATGTAAGTAGAGAGGTGTTCTATCAGGAGTAGGCACAGACACCTATTATCAACATATCTGGGGCACAGAAATCCATCAGACATGAAGAACAAACATTCAAATCACAGTTTTTCTGATAACACAGAAGAAGCAATGTCAAAGAGCTACATCCTCAGCGTGTTTGAATTGACAGGATTCCTCTGAGATTTCTTTCACTGTTAAGTATTAATTGTAGCTTTTAGCACTGTTACATATATCTAAATAAATATATGTATGTATATAAAAAATTAGCTGCCTCTGGTTCTGTGAGGGCACTGTATTCTTGCTGTGCACAAGATCAGATTTTGCAAACCTATATTCACATCAGCAATATCTGGCATAAGCATGCCAGATAGCCCATTTTTCAATTTCATGCTGAATTTCAAGTGCAGCTTCTCCCTTGTTAATCCCAGTGCCACAATGCTAACAGCACCTCCAAGGTTCCTGTGTGTAGAGCTGTATAAAGCCCAAACCGAATCAATGCTACTTCTCTTGGTGAGAGTAGTTGTCTCCAGATGCCATGTCTTAACTTCTCTTTTTTCTAATAGTTTTTCTAAGCTTTTTTTTTTTTTTTTTTCTTTCTAAATTCAGTTTGTATGAAATGGATCGTCGGATCTATTTCTTGAATCAGATGTTGTCTTCTACCACCAGCCACATACAGGTGTTGGAGAGTACTGCATGCTTGTAGAAGTCACTGAGAGGAAGAAATCCAAGGACCCAAAGCTTGTAGTATTGCATTTCTGCCTGCAGGAGAATTTAAGTGCCAGTGTAGTGAGAATGTATAACAAACTTCTGTCTGCATTACGGGCTGTCTGCAAATAAGAGCAGCAGCTGATAGCTCTTCCAGTGCTAGCTTCTTTTTCTGAAGTGACAAGATGAGAGTAGGAGGAAGAGGGATCAGAAGTTCTTCCACCTCCTCCCTCCCTGTGAGCCCAGCTTTGAAGGTCAGTTCTGAGGTGCATCCTCTCTCTTAAATGAATGTTGACTTACTGCAGCAAATTAAAAAAAATAAAAATCCTTCTTGGCTGAGCAGACCTGCAGAATGGATTTTTCATCCTTCTGAGTAGGGATAAGTGGGCATTTTATCTCAGCAGTGATGAAGTACCTCAGCCCTAAGGAATCATGTCCCACAACCATATTCAGTACATGCAGTTTTGTATTTTTGGGCTTCCAACGTACTGTTAAACCAAGTGGAAGGAGTTGAATAGCCAATACTTTTATGCACACCCTCCAGTTCTGTCCAAACCGGTTGCTGTAATTTGTGCCTGCCTGTGGCCATTTTTGTCTGGCCGTGGTCACTTCTGTACCCAGAGGTAAACCCTCATCAACCTCCTACAGAAGAGATGTTCCAGTGGGGAAGGAAAACAGGGAGATTGTTCCAGACAGGGAAAATCCCACAGGATCAAGGCCAGCTATAATTATAGCTGTGCTGCTATGTTAGAAGAATGCAGAGGAACAACAGTAGAGGTCGGGCTTCACTGAAACATAATACTCCTTTGTCTGCAGCAAATGCAGTTTAGCAAACAAAACTTTATTCAGTGGGACCAGAAGTGTGGTGAAACGTTCACCCTTCCTGTGTTCCAGTATGAAGTGCTTCAAGCTTCCTTCAGATACGTATCATGCAACTTCTTCCAGAGTCTGACAGGGATCAGGGCTAGTAGCAAATAGTTCAGTGAGTCTTTTTCATAATGATTATATTGAAATAGTAGCAGAAATACAACCTGCAGAATACACAAAGAGTAGATAACCAGCTGCTCTATTCTTAATTTCCTGCTAAAGTATTTCTAAAGGCAGATCGCTGAGTGATGGATTGTACTCATACAGAATGAGCTTTAAAGAGCACTCTGCATGTTAATAGCTTTCTACCATGAACAACTGTACTTGGATCTCCATTCCCACCAGAATGTCAGGATATCTGTAGGGCTAATGCAGAATCCAAGTGATAAGAGCCTGAATTTTTAATATTTTATCTCATGCTCAAGTTTTATCTCTTATTACTACCCTCTTATTTTACGAGGATCAGGGGTATTTTTGGATAGGCATGCTAAATGATAGTAAAAGGTTTGACAGAAAACACCAAAAGGGAAATCTTACTAGTGGGGGTCTGCAGGAGTTACTAAAAGAAATGCAGTGCTTTTTGATACTGCTGGCTTCAGAATGAAAGACATTCTGGCCATGCCTGCAGAGTCAGTGATTGCATGCCAGCCACACCTTTACATCAACTTGCTGTGTAACCTGTGACTAAGAGCTCTACTGCATTTCTTGGATATATATAGAGAGAGGAGCATCTGGTAGGACCTGGGAATGATCCCTCTCATTCAGCTTTGGTGAGGCTGATGCTAGGTGCTGTGTATAGTTCTGGAGTCCATATGTCAATATTAATGTTGAGAAGTGGAGAAAGAGCAGCAGAGAGCACAATAATGATCACAGTAGATGATCTAATGATTTCTCCTACAGCTCCTAAGAGTCAACTCAGACTAAAAAGCACAGTTTACTTACAGCAAATAGGGTTGTATTACAATCCAGGGAAATGTATCCTGAATCTGTGTCCTGATCGTCTGCAGTCCTGTTCTACAGGTCAAAATAAAATGTATTTCACTTACAGTTATTGTGTGCTTCTACAGCAAAGATGTACCAGTGAGCTGTACTGGTTAATTAGCCTAAACTCACGCGCAATGAACAGAATTGAGCTGCAACTCCCCATACACACATTCCTTTAGTTGACTGTCTTTTGCCTACTGTCTATCACAAAGGATTTAATGTGATTTTCGTTTTGTTTTCTAGCTGAAATAAAGATCTGTTTTAAATACTACCATGGTGTTAGTGGAGCCCTCCGAGCTACTACTCCATGTATCACTGTGAAAAACCCTGCTGTGATGGTAAGTTTAATCTATTTGTTCATTGTATTTGTATACGATACTAACTGCCAGACAAACCTATCAGTATAAGTCTCCTAGTTTTACTATTAACTGCAACTTCTGGAAAAAAAAGAGAGAGAGAGAGATTGTATGACAACAGTCACCTAAATTAGGAAATGCTTTTCATGGCTCGGTATTTTTTCATGATAAAATGACGGTAAAATTCACCAAATTGAAATGAAATCTTTTATGATAACCATTTCATTTTACTTGCTTCCAGTTTGATGTAATTTAACACCATGTTAGAAATTTTTCACACTGGTTATCTAATTCAAACAGAATTCTTATCGGAAGTCTCCACTTATTTGTTATTATTAAAAATGAAACTGTTGCTGAGATAGCAGTTACTAGTATATATAAAAAAAGACCATACAGAACTCTGCTGCTGCAGAAATTATTGATTTTTTAGGAGTGTTCACATACCATTGAAATTTAGGTAATTCTCCGACTTTCATGATTTATTTTTGCCTTATAACAATTTCATTACTTGCACTTTTGATACCTTGAAGTTTTAAAGGAATTTTTTAGTTGTTTAAATAAATACCATTAAGAATAAGAAGAACCATTCACACTTCTATCCAAGTACATTTGATGGACATAATTCATCTAATAGGCTAGGTCTTCAGTTGACGTAAAGTCTCACAGTACATTTGATTCATTGATATTACCTGCCAAGTATTTAAGATTATATCTGTCAGGATGATGTCTTGACAACTACAGCGTTGAGGATACTGTAGAGCACAATTTATTTAAGCTGCTTGCTTTTAATCTGATCTTGCAGTTCTTCAGCATTGTCAATTTACAAGTGAATGCTATGGCAATCTGATACTGTATGTGCTGTCATGGACTAGGTCTCGTTATACCGAATGTTTTTTCTTTCTCTTAGAATTCCTGACCTAAATGACAGCACCATTTAATAGTTAGACCTATGAACAATACATGTTCACAGCAGGCATAGGAGCTTTTGATACTTTATAGAAGAAAATGTGCTACAGTTAGTGAGCTTGACAACAACTGTGTTTAATATACATTTATAAACTACAGAATAAAAGCTAGCCTGATTGTTTTGTGTTTTGTTTTTAAATAAAAAATAGGCATCTCAAAGTAATGAAGAAACCATTTAAGCCTGTATATTTTCTCGGTCTTGTCATACAAGCCACTTAGTGGTATTTTTTCAAGACTAGTTATGCAAAAAGACATCTGAACTCTCTCTGAATATGCATTTATATACTTGGGAGTTACCTGAAAACCCATCTGTCAGAGTCATTGGTCCATCTTGTGGGGTTAACCTGCTGTCACTATGGGAGTTGTTTGTTTTTTTATTTTCCTTTGAAAGGTAGCACAGGATCCTGGGTATGCTACAGAATTTGTACTCCTGATGGAAGGTGTAATTTTATGTAAACCTTTTGTTTGCTCTAACAACACAGACTTCCAGTAATAGTGAGCCGATAGTTTCATTGATGAGAATGTCATGATAGCTCAGATGACGCCTCCTATAAAATATCATAGTGGGTTATTTATACATAAGTATACCTATTATTAAGCATTAGTACCTCATACCATTTTCCTGTTTTTGGTGTTAAACTTAAGCACTGTGTGTGTCATGTCCTTTGTGACAGATACATTGGTCCTGAGAGTGGTAAAAGTCGAGGCATGCCCATTCCTTCTGTTTTTTTTTTGTTTCTTTTTTTTTAAAGCTGTGATAAGTTACCTGCTTCCTTGGATCATGCCGAACTTTTGCATTGCATGGTTTGGTGGGAGATCCATTTCTGGTTTTCCTCATGGTAATGGAATATTACACCAGGAATTTCAGCTCATCTTATTTTTGGATAAGCAGTTAATATTGTGTTCATTTCAGCACGAGGTAAAAAAGCAAGGTCTGATTTAGTATTCAGAAACACTTTCTTACACCAGGTGCGATAGCCTGTGTAGTGCAAGAACGTGTGTCTGGTGGGGTCAAGTCTTGCAATTGGTGCAGAAAAACTGAACCTGCTGTTCAGATCATAATGGAGCTGGAAAATGGCATAAAACAAATGAAACTGTGGAAGTGCTACAGAACACTGTTATAATTAGTTTTATTATAGCTGAATTGTGGGCAAATCATTTTTTCTGTAAAACATACTAAAACAGTGATTAGCAATATAAACAATGTTATCTGTAGTCCATGATGTAGTGGAAAGATACATACAGGAAGAGGAAGACCTTTTTGTTGGTAAGTAGTGTTCTTAACAAGAAATCAATGCCTGGTAGGAGTCAAGTAGAGCACACTGATACGTGCAGAGTTCCTGCAACCCTGCCTGCTCGGCTTCTCCTTCCCACCGGGACTGGCCCCTTCTTGCTTCCAGAGCAACCCTCCTAAAGCCGGAGGATGCAGGTTGGGCTGGAGTTAACCCAGTGTGTCTTCAATGCCCTCATAATTTTACTACCAGCTGTCACTGCTTGTGTATCCTTACGAAGCTGTGGGAGTAATGATACCGTGCTCGGTGGGGAGGTGAGAGAGCTGAGAGCGTTCTGGTGAGAAAAGCTTGTCCCTGAAAACCATGGTGAATCACGACCGCGGCGATGAGGACGGGAAACGGGCCGGGCGGGGAGCAGTGCAACTTCCTGACACAGGCTGTTCCCTCACGAGGCTGCTGAGGCCCGTGGGGATGCCAAATGTCAACGTCACCATGGTTTCTGTATGGCTTTATTGGCTTGACTGCTTTTATATGCTAGGCATGGGAATTTTGCAACAGAGTAAGTCCTTCAGTATCAATTGCACCCAGCATTTGTTCTGATTGTGCTTTTGTTTGCTGATCATCATGGGAAGTATTTGAAAGCTCGTGATAACGCTTAAAGCAATAGCAGAAGGACTTTTGACTTGTTTAGTGGTTTCCTCATGGACTGCATATTCTAGTCAGGCTACCACAGCTTCAGAAATATTTTCAGTCCCATAGCTTCTAGTTCTGCTTGCAGACAACCGTTCAGGTGCTAAAAGCTGCTTTACATATTTCATCTACCCACAGGTGTACAAGTTTGTTATCAGCTTATTTTGTTTAACAGGTCTGATGACTTCCTATTTTATCACTAATATAAAGTTTTTTGGATGAGGCTTTTTTAGCACACCGGGTGTAATCTCTGGGAGTGAGTGCACTGCCTACGTGGAGAACCGTTTGACTTTCAGTATAGCTCCATTGATGTTTTTATGTTAGATTATTCAGCTGGATGCACATCTCTGTCTGGAGAGAAATTTGTCTGTCAGCTGAAGGAACTATTCTGTGGATATAGCAATTTAGACGTTAATACGTGAGAAGCCTTTTATTTTGAGGTAATTTTTTTACCTAGTCAGAGATTTCTGTAGAAACCAAACCTGAATACATGTGTAGTATAAGCATAGCTTTTAGATGACATTTGTATTTATATCATTGATGTATTTTTCCATTTACAAAAATTCATTCATAAATCTGAAGGTTTTTGGTCTCATTGATCCCATTGCCTTTTTTATTGCATGGCCCACTTGTGAAAAGTGACAAAAGTTATGTCACCAGCTAGCTCATGCTTTCCTATATATATTGCCAGTCTGTACTGTTGATTTTATTTTATAAAAATGAAACCCACAAGAAAATAGTGTTTCCCTTTCAGTGATTTATTTTCTCTTTGGAAGATTCCAAGGACTAGTGTATTAACACCGTGTGGCATATATCATATTTTCCTAGAAATGGATGCTGTAGCTTTGTCCCTGGTAACAGGCAGTAATTGTTCTGATTCTTCCCATGCATGCCTCTATGCAGTTGCATAATCATCTTCAATTATGTATAAAGCAGATGAAAACTTCTATGGCATGTTATTTCTTTCTCCTCTTCAGATGGGAGTAGAAGGCACGGATGAAGGTGCTTCTGGAGCCCAGCACTCTCGGAAGTTAGTCAGCTTTACCCTATCAGGTAAAAAAGACAACACAAATATGCATTTTACAAATTATTTTTATATAAAAAAAAAAAAAGATGTTCTAAAAATCTTTAAAAATAGAGCACGTTTCTTCCTTACCTTCCCTAGGAGCACACTCTAGTGGCTTGAAAGATATAATTTCTTTAGAACTTCTGTTTGAAAACAAGCCAGATTGACAAATCTCCAGGCAATGAAAGAAATGGGTTTGATGAATCTCAGCATGAGAAATTTGCAAAAATTTCTAGTTTGTGCAACGAACAAAAAAAAAATAGCCTCTAAATAAAATGCAAGCTGGTTCTGTCACTTTTAAGAAAGTAGTAACAAAGCAATGGCTGGAAGTAGTGGTTTAAAAAGAAAAAAAAATCTTTTTTTGTAACAGACTAAGCTGTCACTGCAGTGAAATAGCTGAGGGATACAGTCTACCAGCTTCACTTGTTTTGATTAGCACTTTATTCCACAGGAAGTCGTGTGAGACTAGAGCATATTCAACTTCAGTGAAGACAGAAAAAAATGTTTCTGAATACTGAGGAGCTGACAATGAAAACATTTAAAGGCTGTAGGAGTAGAGCAGAAGGCAATATGCTTTGATCTGGTCTTGCAGCAGTTTATCAGTATTGCACTAATACATCGTAGAGTCACACAGAGAACTAGAAAGATAATTGTGTTTTGTGAAATCTGAAAAACCTGTTGTGTTTAATGGAATGTTACAACTTGGCTTGAGGAGTTTCCTAAATTTGTTTGAAAGGTATACTGACTGACAGGTCTGTCATGTACTTGCCAGAACGTTTTTGTTTGCTCATGTAGAATGTGGTGATCCTGCATTTTGTTGTCATCTGAATGTGCCTCTTTAACTTCATTGTATCTTTAATGGATTTTTAGTGTGCTTATCAGAGAATGTTCAAATATCCTGGGTTTTGCACGGTGTAGTGACAGATAATTGACTGGCATCTTTCCATTAAGATGCTAGAGAACTGTATTTTTGAAGCCAAGATGAACTACCTGGTCCTGGCTTCTCATGTGACTGTGTTAACAGACAAATATGATAACTCTAAATGTAAGATTATGTTAAACCTTAAACTGAAATTGTGGCAAATCAAAGCTGAGCCATGATCCAGTGATGGCATTATTTCCTATGTTTCATGCTGTACTCCTTTGGAGGACAGCATTGTTTTCTTTGAAATATGTTTGTGAATTACTCCTTGTGCAGAAAAATAATTCTATTTTTGAGAATTTCTCTGTGTTATTTTAGACTTAGAAATTCACTTTTTCAAGGAGTTCTCAAAATGTTTGTGGGTGATAACCTTCTTTTTTGTTGACAGGTTTCTAGATACTACCTAGCAATAAGTTTCGAGCAGTGGGAAAAAATAATGTTTTTGTTTGTTTGTTTGTTTGTTTTTTACTTACTGAAAAAAGAAATGACATGAAACGATCAACTCTCACAACCATAATACCAAATCTATTGCATAAGCTCTTGCCATCACTAATAAATTGTCTGGATTATGGACTCCCTTTCTGAAAACAGGTCAGTTGATTCTTTGCATTCAGATAAATGCATTTCAGATTGTTGAATATCTCACGATGGGAAGAGATGTTTTCTAGTGATCTCTAAAATGAATAAAGAATGCTTAAGAGAACCACTTGGCTATATCCTCCTCACTAGGTATCGTTAATAAATCATGATTCTATCTCCTATGCATCATTAGTGGCATTGTATGATTTATTACCATATTATACTAGTAAATCAGTGTGAAAAAATATTATTAATGGAGTAGAAGAATCTTCTGCCACATGCCTGAAGTTCTTACAGGTTTGTAATCTGTGCTTGTGCAGACTGATACAGATAAAAATTATGTGGATATGCTTCTATTTTTATTTTTTTTTAAGGCTGTAGAGGAGCTGCTTTGCATTTGCATTGTTAACGTGTCTTAGGCTTTTCCTCCCTTTTGTAGCTGGTGGAATACCACGTGCCATTGCACGCAGAGGATCTTTCTTAGAAATTTTGCTGTGGTCTCTCCTGTAGAGGGAGTTTCCGAACAGCTTTAGTGCAAAGATTGTGATAGAGAGCAATATATATGCTTGCTGTAGTTGCATATACCAAGTTGTTGCTTTTAAAGGCTGTTACCCTATATTTCATAGTATTTTACTATACAGCTTAATTTTGAACTCTAGGCAGGACTTTTTTTTTTTTTTAACTGACTCTGAAGATGTAGTATTTAGTTTCAGTGCAGTGAATTTTGCCAGCATGTATAAATTGCTCATCTAAGTATGTATGTGCCAATTGCATTAGGGTCATGAAGACTGTGTGCAGCATATTGCAGAACCTAATGGAGAGAGGCACTAAAATCTTATGCTTCAGCAAACCTAAACAGACAAATATTTTACAGTTAAGTTTAAAATCTAATATTGTATCACAAATGCCTTCTTTATGTTCTCGATGAAGCTTATACTCTTGTTGAAGTGCATAGGTATAAGATGTGCATCTGAGGAAATTCTTGTTTATTGTTGAAAGTTGGCACGGGCTGCGATACTGAGACCTCCCTAGCAAAAAAGCATTTTCAGAAAACCTTGCATCCTTTTAAATGGGATAGCTTATCTTCTCCTAAGTTGAGATAAAGTGTGCATCATAGGCCAGAGCAACCTCGGTGATGAATATTTAAAGTAATATTTCTCAAAGTCTCAGCTTTGGGAGAGCTTGAGTTCACTACATTACCTCCTATAATCTTAGCTCTTTCTCCTCAAGCAGCAAAAGAGCAAGTACTGTATGGTGGGGTTTTTTGTTTGTTTGTTTCAGGGTGGAAAATACCTTGCTGAGAAAAACATTTGTTGCTCTTTTTAATGTTCATGCTGTAATTTTGTATTACAAATCAATACTTTTCCTCCCTGTGTTCTCTTAGGAAAACACTTGACTTGCTGCTTTAACTATCTTCTGTACATTGGATCCAGTTACTCTAGTAGCATCTTTAATTTGCTTTAGTGGTTTACGGTGACTTGATTTCCTGGGTAATATTTTAGGAATGCACTACTTTGTGAACTAACTTTAATTTACTCTGTTCCTTTTTCCTTCCTTGTTTTGTTTTAAAGATATTAGAGCAGTTGGGCTTAAAAAAGGCATGTTCTTCAACCCTGATCCTTACCTAAAGATGTCCATTCAGCCAGGCAAGAAAAGTACATTTCCTACATTTGCTCATCATGGTCAGGAAAGAAGGTCGACCATCATCAGTAACACAACTAACCCTGTTTGGCACAGAGAGGTAATGTATGCCTTTTGAGAGCTCTTTGCAAGCTGATGCAATATACTAGGCTTGTATTTTCTCTTTACGCATTAGTCCTTACTCTGTGAAGGCTGGGAGCTTATTCAGTAGCTAGCTATTTAGACTGACACCAAAATTGTAGTAATTTTAGGAACCCTGTTGTTGGAAAGAAACAGCTATCATCTGCATATTTATGCCATGTGTTTAAGCTGCAGTGCTGGGAGGTTTTCATTTGCTTCTCTGCTGAAAGAGTTGGAATCAGTCAACAGCCCTGTAGATCCCTTGAAATTGCAAAAAATAAATTAATTAAAATGGATTATATGTTGTGGGAAAACTCTTTAAGAAAAGGTACAATGAGAGAGCGTTTATGCTTAGTGATGGCAATGACTGCTCATTTGGAAATGATATCCCCATTGTGCACAGCAGGTGGCAAGTGTTCATTTTTGCCAGGCAGAGTGGATGCTCTTTGGTATATCCTTTCTGTGTGCTGCTGTGGAAGGGAAACCCCATGGAGGGAGGCATTACAGCACTACGTAGCAAAGGAAAACAAGTGCAGTTTGTTAGAAGCCAGTTTTCTAGATTGGTTTATACCAGGTAAGTTATGCAGGTCTTAAAGAAGGAACTTGAACTGCTCAGTCCCACGACTGTCTTTGAGCACAGAAGAGCAAGGCAGTGTCTTTGAAGATTAATATTTACATGGGAAACTGTGAACATTATTCTTAACCCTTTGGGGACCACATAGCAGCATTCTTAATCTGTGCCTATTTTCTATTGAGCAAATGCCTACGCTCTTTCTGAATGTTAATATGTTCTTTAGGAAGATCAGAAGATTGAGTGGGCTTTGGAAAATGTTTCCACAAGTTACAGTCAAACAAGCAGTAACGCAGAAGAGAGCAGTGTGAACATTAGCCCAGGGGTGCTTGGTTGTGGGAAAGACTGTAGATTTGTGGAAGACTTAAAATCTTAGAAGTATACGAGTTTTAATCTCTAAACTGATTCTTCATCTTTCTATCTGTCCATTTCTTTGTTCAGTAGATGGGAAGAAAACCTATTATGATTTTTCCTTTTTTTTTCACCTCCAGTTCTCCTTGTTTTCTGAAGCTTATTAGAAAAGTGATAATGTTCACTGGTGCACACATTGTATTGGCTTGCTTTAACTGCTGCATCTGCCCTCTAGCAATGCTCTGATGATACCAGCTTATGATCCCATTATCTATGCTGTCCTAGTGGTGCAGAATGGATCCTGTTTTACATCTACTCCTTTCTGAAAAATAATTTGCGATTTTCTATTATACTGAGAAACAAATTCTAAGTTATTTTTATCCCAGGAACCCAGCTCTACCCGGCATGAGGGAGTTTTTTTAATTCCTGGCTCAACTTAATTGCTGGTTTTTAATACTTTTAGCCAATATCTATAGCTGAGCTGAGTTGTTTCTTCTTTTGTTCCTTGTTCAGTACCTTGTCATCTTTTTAGCTAGATGCACATTAGCCAGTTTTCTCAGAGGTCTTAAAGATGGCAGACAGTAAAAGTGTAACCAGATGACTTTGGCTTTTCTGTAGATTTTACCCATACTTTTTTGTTTGTTTGATATCTTAGAATCTAGAGGAAAAAAATATCTTTGGTTTCTAAGTCTGTTTTCCTGAGGGAATTTGTCATCACATTGTGTGTAAGTGTGCTTCCCTGCCGACATGCCTGCTCAAATGTGTGCCCTGTACCTCTGTTGAATCTTTTGGCCATCTTCAGCCAGACTTAGCAGAGCAGCACAGATGCCAAATATGAACTATTCATAAATTCATGAAAATTGATGCTAGGCTGAAGAGAGGGACTGTGACGCTGTTTCCACCCACAAGGGAAGGTGGAAGGATGATCTTATAAGACATAAGAAAGTTCTGTTGGAACTTACTGGGAAGATTTATGAACTTTGGTGCAAAAATCTATGGAAAATTCTCCTCCTTTAGTTTCAGTGCTCATGAAAATACTGCCTGTGCATTGTCCTTCCAATGTCATGCATACAAAAAATTACAACAAAACGTGGTGTTGGAAGGGAAGTGCACAGTCTAGACAGAGGCACTCTTCCTTTCTTCTACATTGATTCTGCTACTCTCCTGTAGCATGACAGAGTACAGTGAGGAGTCCTTCTCTTTGTGCTTTCTAGTATCCAAATTGAAGCAAGCAGAAGTATACATTGCTTTCTCCTTTCTGATGTGGACCATGAAAGTGCTTTCATCTAGTGCAGCTTCTTACCAAACAAGTATTTTCAAGGAATGGTAAAAAGATAGGGGTTTTCTGAGAGGCCAAATTCAGTACTTAATAATGACCCTGACATTCTTTTGCAATATGAAACTGCTGTAGTCATCAATCATTGCTTTTAGAGTTCACTGCCAGCTAGTAGTAATTACGCACATGCCTTCTGAATGAAGATATATTGATATAGTGTCAAATATGTTCTTTCCTTCCAGAAATATTCTTTTGTTGCGCTTCTAACAGATGTCTTGGAAATTGAGGTTAAAGACAAATTTGCCAAGAGTCGTCCAATCATCAAGCGCTTTCTTGGGAAGCTAACCATACCAGTCCAGAGACTGTTGGAGAGACATGCAATTGGGTAATTAATACATTCTTAATGCTAACTTTCATTTGTCAGGGAGATCCAACATCTAGGATACCAGCACAGAGCAGCTTTTCTGGCTTAGTGGCACAGGCACAATTTGTACTGTAACTGTAGCAAGAAATTAAAGTGGAATTTGAATAGCCTTATTGCCCAATTGGAATATGGTGGTGTTTCTAATCCCATTCTGAATACACATACATCTTCTTATATATGTTTGTAATTTGTTTCCAACTTAGTGTCTTTATGCAAAAAATCATCACCCTCCTAAAAAATGTTACCCTATGGCTAGCTAATCAAGAAGCAAACTGTTATCACAATGCTGTGTGATCGTGTGCAAATTTTTTAGAACAAGCAAATTCTATTTTATCACTTTTACATCTCTTTTATTTTTATTTGTCAGTTTCAAAGAGAGATTTAATATCTGTTCAGGTAATTGACCAGAACTGCAAGGCTATGACTCCTTATTTTTTCAGAGTGCTGGTGTACTACCAAATTAAAATGGCCTTGTGCTATGAATAGAGAACTAATGGAACTCAAAATTAATCTATTGTGTTATTTTTAGATGTTCTGTTCATTTTTTGTGGCAACCTGTTATGGTTTAAAGAAGCAAGTAACATAAATTTTTAAGATGTTTTGTACTTCAAGATGATTACTGGATTGCATATTGTAGTATAGTCAAATGGATGATCAAATTAGGCCATCAGACAGCCATATGCACTCAGAAAAGCCTGAGACTTGGTACTTAGGCACTGTGATACAGTGCAGGTATAAAACAAATGTCTGGAGGTCTGCAAGAGATGCAACTGTGAATGCAAAATTGTAATTTTACCTGTAAGAGGAAGCAGTTGTTGTAGGGTATGCTATTATGTCTAAATATTTTGACATTTGTATATTTTATTTGACAAATTAGAAAAAGTAATTCCTCAAAAGACAACGGGAGGAACTAAATTATTCAAATGTGTTTTGTATAGAATCTAACTCAAAGATAATGACTTTCCATTAACTTAAGAGGCCATTGGATGAGGCCTACAAAGAATGATGGTGAAAGAAAATCTGTATATTCTTGCCTGAAAGTTTAAGGGCATGGCAGTATCATCAATCTATCACACAAAAAGCAGGACATAAACAGGTGGCCTCCTTTTTCACAGATACTCTCATCAAAGTAACATGTTGCATAAATGAAGAAAAGCAAACTCAAATTGAAAGGAGTTTTCAGCTTTAAGTTTCCAAAGTGGTGGTTACACTGGTAAGTAATGTAAGAACAAAGTTGTAAGAGTAGCTTAAAATTTCTTCTGATAAAGAATTTTATTTAAAAAAAAATAAAAAGTAGGAAAAAAAAAGCCTGCCCAAGAGCATACAACCTAACTTTACTAAGAATTGCTTCATCTCAACAAATTGTGATATCTTGGAGCAAGCAGCTTTTTCTAATAAATTTGCACACAGCTAGAGATACTCAGAAATAGCACAGTGATACAGACTGGCTTCAAAACCTAGATTACAATGTTCATTTCCATGCTATATTCCAAAACTGCGCTGGGATTTCTATTGGTGTGAAAAGTGAAACCTGACTTCTCTCGAAGACATTTCCTGTTTTCTTCTCTGTACTTCGGTTCTGTGTATTTGATATACCAAAGCTTTTTGGGATATGGAAGGCTGTATAATAAATATGTAGCAAAAACATAGGTAAGTATTCAGTTTTGTTTTGCCATGTTTCAGTTAGAACTGACATTAAATCAATCTTGCAGTTCTTTTTACCAATTTATCTGTACTTTGTTGCTCGTTTGTGCTTTTTGTGCTAGTATTTGACGCTATTGATTCATCTGAATCCAAAGCAGACGTTGTTAATGTCGTTGCTTTCTCTAATCTTGTAGTGCCTAGAGCATTGTAAACCGTATGTAAAAAGTGTGGAATTCACAGCTGGCAATCTTCTGAGGATGCCCCCAGGTCTAACTGAAGAATTGCAATTGGAGTAGTGAGCAGTGAATCTGTGATACAGATTCAGGACGCGATATTGTGATGACTTGATGTTCTGTGGCCCATATACACTGCGGAGAGGTTGCTTTGCCTTAAGTTGTCCACTCGGGGCTTTTTTTTGCTCAAAGCTGATGCTTGGATGCAAACTGCTGCAGTTTATCTCAATAATTGCCTTATATTCTGTTTAGTCTGTCACTTAGTGTAGCAAGAATGCTCCCTGTAGAGGGAGAAATGTTTGTTATACCAGTACAAATCTAATTGCATAAGTAGCAGCAATTTCCCATTAAGGTCTTCAGCAGCCCCTCCTCTCCCTTCAGCTGTGTCAGATGTGCTGAAAGTGACTGGGGCTGTAAATTCCGGCTGTTTGTAATAATGGGTAGCCTATGATCTTATCCTGTCTCAAGCTGACACAAGTACTTAATCAAGTCTGAGTCCTATTGAAGTCAGAAACACTTAAGAAAGTATTTCAGGTTTAATCTTAGCATTAAAAGCTTTTCTAAGTAATACTGTGTTTAGGCAGATGCAGAAGTGCTTTACTGAATGAGAAATAAAATGTGAAGAAACTATTAGGATTTATTTTTTTTTTACAGTAAAAACCACAAGGGGGCAGAAGGTCTTCAGAAATAAAAGGTTTTTGTTAATAATAAAACATATTTTCTGATGGAGAAATGAGAAGCTAAGGGAAAGCTTTCAGTTTGGTTTCTTTTGGAATTAAAAACAGATTTAGGGATATGTGAGAGTTCATAGGGCACAATCTGAATTTGAAAATGATAAATAGTAGCTTGTTAGGCTGTTTTGTGCATCAGTAATCAGTATCTTACACTATTGTTGGTATTTGTGCTTTCTCATACAAGCCATTCTATGTGGCTAATCTTAAAAGTGTGATAGAAGTTACCATCTCTCACACTGACTCTACCTGATAAGAACTTATAATACAAAATACTGGAAAAATAAAACCAGTCAAAATTTTTGGGGAAAAAAAAGCGTGCATGCACAAAACAAAACTAACAAACAAAAAACACACATACACACAAAAACACTAAAGCCAACAGTCTATTTTTGTTTTTGCAGAGACCAGATTCTCAGTTATAATCTTGGCAGAAGGCTCCCAGCTGATCATGTAAGTGGCTATCTCCAGTTCAAAGTGGAAATCACATCTTCAGTTCATGAAGGTGAGACTTTGTCGCTGATCTGAATCTCCAGATAGTTGTATAGAGAGAATTTCTATGTACTTATGTTTCTAACATTTTCAGTGAAAATTAACTCCTCCATTAGCTCCCCTCTACTGTAGGTTTTCCTAGTGGGATTCATATTTTAGGTATTTCAGATACGGCTTTGGAGATAGTATTCAAAACCGTAGGTGTTTTGGAATTACTATTATGTTTCTTTTTATCCTATAATTTTCCCGTTTTATTAGATTTATTTTAAATGAATGTGCTTATGATTTTCGTTTTATGGGATTGATGAGGGAATCTAATTCTTTCTTCACACTTTGACGTGTGCCTTGGCTACCTTTGGCTGAGATGAGCAGTTGCAAGTAAGGTTCTGCCTCTGTGTCCATGCTGATTACTATGTCCTATCCCCTTTTTACAGGACTGAGAATTACCTGTTATGGTTATACAGATACACGTGTCCATTAGGCATTTTTTTCATACCAAAACGTATTTAATATTTTGTGAACTTTGCTTAGGTAGATTCCCATTCTTTACAGTGGAAAAGTTTGTTAAATCTATTCAAACTAACTGTTGTTATAAATGGCTCAGGATTCAAATTAGGATTAAATAAAAAAAATAGGATTTATTAGAAGAATATAAAGGAATAGAGGTAAGCAAACAGCGCTGGGTGCACCGGGAGTCTCCGCTCCACCAGGACGCACACCAGTTACATCAAGCAGCTGATTTTTATGCACCTAGACTAATACATATTCATTACTACTTCTAAAAAAAGAGATTATTAAAATTAGCTTCTGGGGTCCAGTTCCTCCTACTGGAGCATGCGCATCAGTCTCCTCTGGGGGTCTCTAGGGGTCTTTCATGCTGAAGGCTCGTAGTCTTCCTCTCACCCTTTGTACTTACTTGGCACTATTCCAAGTTTATGGAACACTCTCTGTACACTCTCCACAGGTCTTGTCTCCCAACCGTCCTTCAGCTTCTTTTTTCTTCCTCTTAATCTCTTGGCCCCCCTGGCCAGATACCAAGGATCCTCATAGTATCCCATAACAGTCACTAGTTGTTATCAGTTGTTCTGAAACTCCCAGACATCAAACACAAACAGCTTTCTTATTTGATGCTTCACGAGTAATTAAAACATTCTTCCCCAGCCATTCACAGACACATCTATAGCAGTGTTAAGTTAATCTCGAAGATGTGTATAGAATTGTGCATCAGTGCACAGTTTGTGATTGCTCATGTGATCTCAGGTGTGGGTTTACATGCTGCTTAGGAAAGCTGGCATCAGTGACTGGTTTTGTATAAATCCTGCTTCTGGATATAAGAGAGATGCTGTAGAAAACCATTTCCTTGTTTGTGAGGCTGGTTTTGCAGACAGTTTGTCAAGATGCTTGGCAATGTTTTGTCGTTTGAAAGCAAAATAGGAGTCCTTTAAAGTAATATTCCATGCTTGTGAAATTTTCTATGACCTATAAAATAGGATAGACTTATATAGAGAAAATTCTGTGATTGCTGTTATAATGATGTAGATGCCTGTGTTGTTTTAATTGCATTTTCTTCACTTACTTGCCTGATTGAAATAAGCCAACATCTTGAAAGATGTGATGTATCACTTCTGTGATGATGGGAAAATATAATGAACTGTCTGTGCATTACACGTTTCACATTCAGTTGTTGTGTCTCTGCAGATGCATCACCAGAAACAGTCGGCACTTTGCTAGGAGTGAACTCTGTAAACGGAGACCTGGGGAGCCCCTCTGATGATGAGGACATGCCAACGGGACATCATGATACATCCACAGTGTGTTCCAATGGTCCAGTCCTTGAGGAATCTTCTGGAGAAACAATCCAGAGACATATTTTAAGGACTAGTGCAACTCTGGAAACAGACCAGGATGAGATAACCTCTGGTGCTTCAAGATCATCGCCTACAAGAGGTCGCCAGGACTCGCTAAATGACTATCTGGATGCAATAGAACACAACGCTCATCCCAGACCTGGGACGTCTGCCTCTGGTGAACGTCCACGTGGAGCCTCCCCAAAACTGAGGAGTAGCTTCCCTACTGACACAAGACTTAATGCGATGCTTCACATTGACTCGGATGAAGAGGAACATGAGCTACATCAAGACCTGGGTTTTCCATCTTCCTTGGAAGATGATGGTGGTTTGGTAATGCTTAATGGTGCTGCAAGAAGTGTTGAAAGAGATGGTTTAAGTTGCTCATCAGATCAGGTAACACAGGGACCTGCAGAGAATGAAAATGTTTCAGCCTCTGAAGCTCCTTTGCCTTCAAATGATGACCAGCCAGAGAGTCTCCCAGAGCTTCCACCATCACAGTTAGCAGAAGGGGAAAGTCCCCAAGGTTCTCAAAGTGAAACACCAGCAGAGCAGGCTGGCAGTGAGTTGTATGCCGCTCAGGAGGCAGAGCAGCCTCCTAGCAGTACAGATGCAGGAGCTGCAGATGCCGCTGCTGGGAGCAGAAGGGGTGTTAGTGAAACGGAATCCATTGATCAAGGGTCTGAACCTTCCCAGCTGTCATCAGAAACCGAGCAGAGTGACCCTGCTCGCACGGAAAGTGTCAGTGAGGCTAGTACCCGACAGGAAGGGGAGAGCGATGTGGAAGGGGCAGACAGCTCTTGCAACGAAAATGCAACTGTGCGCCGTTCCTCAGTTGAAATGCGGTGTTCTTTTGAAAGTGCTAGGTTTCCTGAGACTCCCACCTTTTCTCCTCAGGAAGAGGAAGAGGGAGCTTGTGCCACTGATGTGGCTAGAACTCAGCCAGCTGCTGAAACACAAGACGCTGCAAGTACTTCGGGCTCTTTGCCTGCAGTACAGTTACCTCAGGAGGAAGTGCAGGAGGCTGAAGCAGGTGAATTACAAGACCAAGAGGAAGCAGAAGAAATCTGGCAAAGAAGAAGCCTGCAGGCGGCAGCTGCCAATAGCCAGTCTCAGGATGAAGAAACTGGAAGGAGCCCAAGCAGCCTGTGAGGGTGCCACAGCACAGGTTGAAGGAGCTACTGGAGGTAACAACTGCAGGAGGCACTCTGATAAGTGACCTTTCTGCAGCCAGTAGAAATTAATTTAAAAAGAACATCTGAAAGTAAAGATCTTCAATTATCAATGTCATTATCTTTCAAAGGTTTTCTTCTTGTGAGACTTAATTTGTTTAAGAGACACTTGGGGTTTTTGATTCAACAAAAAAAAAAGAAAGAAAGAAAGAAATATACAAAACGTGTTTATTTTGAAATAGGATATATTCTAATTCTTGAGAGAGTATTGAGAAGGAGTGTGAAGAAAAGAATTTCACAATATTACCCTGCTTGCTAGATAATTTTTTAGTCACATTTCAGGCTGATATCTTACCTTTTGCAGTTACTTATATGTATGGACACATCCTAGCACAGTTGGAAGCATGGGAAAAGAGGAATGCATTACTCAAGACTGTAAAACTTTTCCCATATATAAAGTTATTTTAGCAGTTCACGATTTCATATCTCACTAAAGTCATGGAAAATAGAAATGTGTACATTGCATTTTTTTTTCAAGCACATTTCACAATGGATCATCCATTCTCTTTCTACAGAGATTGAAGTGGATCTAATTAAGTGGGTGCAATCAAATTGGATTTCTGGATGCATCTTTTTTTTTTGTAACATTTCAAAAGTTCAGAGCTCATTTCCCTATCTTTGAAGTCCATGATGTTCTGCATATGTTTGTAGTTAATCATATCTACCCTATTTATCCTGGTAAAATATAGTTTTGGTATTTTTTCAAATACTGTCAATACATTCTTTTACATCATTTAAGACTCTTTGCTAGGTGTCAGATCGCACCATACTTTGCTAATCAATATTGCTGCAGCAAGGAAAGTCGGTGGACAGTTAGAGCAGGTTTCTGTGGAGGCCAGGTGGGTGTAGCTTTGCCCATGTCCCTTGGTGGGATATAACTCAGGCACTTGCAACTGTTAGAGCCCTGGCTTTCATTGGTCACAAGTGGATGCATCGTGTCACAAGAGGTAACATTTTCAGGACCAGGACTGCAGAGTGTGCTAGAGAAATGACCCTGATCTGTAGACATGACTTATTTTGCCAGAAAGACCAGGTGATTAATAGATGTATCCTAAAATGTTGCAGTCCTGCAGAAGTTTTAGTGTGTCTTGTTCTCTTGAGAGGCAACTTTAGGGTTTCCCCACATTGACTGAAAAGTAATTTGTGGGCATTTTGTTTCTAGGTGCTCAAGCCAATGGCCATCAGCCCTTGAGGTCGCTGCCTTCGGTACGTCAGGATGTTAGCCGGTACCAGAGAGTGGATGAAGCTCTGCCACCAAGTGAGGTTCTTCATACTTTAATTGGGGGTTAGGCTGCCAAGATCTCATTAGTGAGATCTCATTATGTTTCATTTTTAAATGTGAGAACTGAGTATGAACAACTGAGAAGTTCTTAATGAGGAAGGATGATGATTAAGTCTAGTGCTGTTTCGAGAAAGGCATTGTGCTCAGTCTGCAAACTATGAGGATGTGTTATGATAATTATACCTGATGTATACAGACTTGCTAAGTGAAATTTGCAGAGAAATTAGGAAGGCATGATGCTGCCTTTTCTACAGGCAGCACACGTGAGTAGGGAGGTAAGGTGATATGCTATGTGACACGCTCTGAGGGAAAGACAGAAAGCACAGTGAAATCTCTGAATATGTCATATATGGTGATGATTTGCAAAGAAATGTCTAACAATCTTTCTCTGCTCATAGATTACATGAAAGGTGTCTGTGTTTTCCTTGCATTTTCTGAGGCTGTGTCAAGGCATTTGAATTAAAATAAATCTGGATATTGAGCAATTGTTGGATGAGCTAAATTGAATGAGAAATTGTCGTTTCTTTAATACACACAGAAAACACATTGCTCGCAGTTTTTGGACTGATGCTCTTTTTTTAAACGTGGGCAGTGGTGATGTATTTAGTCTTAGACGCTTAAAGAAAGGAGAAAGGAGGGATGGAAAAAGCTACATGGCTAATGGGGAAACATTGCTTTAGAAAAGAAAAAAATCAGACACAGTGAACTCAGTGGCAAAGCTCTATGACTTTGAAGAAGCCAGGAATTCAGGTATTTAATGTGCAATTAATAGATTCCATTCCGCTGTGTGAAATGGGATTGCACTTGCTCTGTAATTGGATAGGGTGGCTGTAAAGAGCCTGATAGCAGAACATGGATAGAATCATGTATCGGAATGCCAGGTGATGAGAAGATTTTGCTCCCTGAGGATTTTGTTATAAGCAGTGCATATAACAAATTAGTCCTATGCACAGATCCCAAAGTTAATTAACTGCCACCTCAGTAAAACAGAATTATTTTTCACAAAATTGTGCCCGGGAGACATATACTTCATTTGCATTTTTATCATTTTTCATGCAGAAGAAGACAGAGAACATTATGGGAGATAGGTGTAATAACTTAGAAATGCATAGATACAGCTTTTATAGCACCGTGGTTTATACATACATTGCTTTTTGTGTTTCAGAAGCAAACGATACAATAAGTACTTGGAAAAAACTATTAGAATATTCATGGAAAAGGCTTGGTTGTGTGGAATTCTAAGATTTCTGACATTTGCCGGGATTTTACATTGTTGTACATGGGCATATATATACACACCAGCCCTTTAAAATCAAGGCTCAATGCCACGTGTATGTTAATCATTTGTCTGCTAATTTGAATGAAATCCTAAATATTAATTGTTGCCTAGATTAATTTTCTTCGCCAAAGCTCTGCCCAGAACAGGTCTCTAGAACAGAATATGCCTAGTATGTCTGCCTAGAACATGTAACATTTAGAACTCCTACATTCCTGGGGAAAAATCAACAAATATCAGCTTGAAGGCACAACCTTGATCAATTAAAATTTCACAATTTAGCAAGCTAAGTCCTTTGTAACATGTTTAACCACCAACAGTTTGACTAAAGGAAGATTTTTTTGTCCATCACAGCACTGATAGAAGTCCTTTACTTTAGAACACATTGCACAAGCATTCAGACCTGCTTATTTATGACGAACGCAGGCAAAGGTGCTCTTTCTGTCTCAAGACCACATTACAGAAACGGTGACTGTGTTGGAATTAGACATCGCTACAAGAAAAATCTCAGCTGTTATACAGCATTTAATGGTTTGAAATCTAGGTGGAATGGTGAAACATGTATTTTTATTTCATCAGAAAGATACTGCTTATTAATTTGAACTTTTCACAGAATCATCTCTTTTATCTCTTCCTTTTTTTTTTTTTTCTTTAGGGGAGAGAATCTTTTTCAGAGAATGCTGAAATGTTTGCTTTCTTTTTTGACATAGAAATTATTTTTTCTTTTTGTGGAGTAACTTTGAAATGCATTATATTTTGTATAGCAAGTACAGTGATGAATCCACAACCTTTGCATTGTTGCAATTTTGTTTATTTTGAACTTTTAATTTGCAATATAATACAAAATTCTGGATTTTGCTTACGGATTTGGAGAAAGATGACATCAACATACTTATTTTCTCCTGGAATTGTAAAAAAAAAAAAAAAAAAAAAAAAAAAAAAAGTTAAACAGTTCTCTTTATTCTTATACTATGGTGTTTCTTATTATTTTCTGACTCCAAGTTTACTTTCCTACATAGCTCTTACTTACAGTAATAATACTCTAATCACTAGTAGGCTGTTCTGATTATGAACTGTAAAGACAGAAGAACAATTTGCATTGTGGCCAGCTAAAATACACAGCAGTCTTGCAGAGATGATGCATTCAGTTTATCTCAGAACTTTTTTTTAACGTCTTTGTGAGTCAACTCACACCCTACAGTGTAGCGCAGCGAGCTGCTTAGCTGCCTTCAGTTGTTGACAGAAGTCATAATGCACATGTAGTAACAAAGCCTGAGGTTTTAAGGCTGTCAGTACTAAACAGTTTACAGTAGAATTTAGTTTTCCTTCTGTGCTGTCACGATTTTTCTATCCCCTCTTTCCTCGTGGAGCAGCGGTCATTTAGAATTGGTTGCCTGCCAATGCTTTTTTGAATGTTACTGCAGGGACTGATGTTTCCACCTCGACTTGAAATATAGAAAGTCTCTCCTAGAAACCTTCTGAGCTCTTAAAGATTGTTTTTCAGCTGATGACATGCCAAATGATTTGCACATTTTATGCAAAATCATGTGTATAATATGGACAGAGAAGAAATACTATATTCAGGTGATCTCATGCTGCTATCTTCTTTCTTTCAACCTGACTGGATGTTAGGTACTATTAATAAATGAAATGATTCCTATTTTTTTAATAGTTAGGGATGTCATATTCTGGTCTTTTGTAACACTGCTTGCATAGATCCAACAGACCATAATGGTTAGTGCTGGACTTCTAATGTTTTCCATAGTTTCTTGTAGCAAAACCAAAACTGGGACAGCATTATAGTTACTGCTTGCACAAGAAGTTGACAGTATTACTGTTACTACCACATGGGTAAAAGCAATGGCAGGTTTGCAAGGTTTTTGTTATTTAGGCCTTGGCTTACTGAAGTAGTTTTCATCTCATCTTTAAGTGCTTTTAGTTACATATGGATTCCATAGAACCTAAACTACTACAGGGAGTTTGACTTATGCAGTACAGTCAGGGAAAAGCCATATCTCTTAGCCTTTCAGTGAGAAAGTTCTGTGCTGAAGTCATCCTGTAATAGAGAAATGGAAACTTGGAACATTAGATTCAGTTACAAAGAGCTAAAATAAATGCAGAAATAAAACTGAACACCTCCATAGTTCACAGTATTTTATTGCTACTTAGACTGGGAAGCTCGAATTGACAGCCATGGACGAATTTTTTATGTGGACCATGTGAACAGGACAACAACGTGGCAGCGACCCACAGCCCCCCCGGCCCCACAGATTCTGCAGCGGTCAAATTCCATACAGCAAATGGAACAGCTGAATCGCCGGTAAGAATTACCATCGTTGCTTGTGAATTGTGTGCTTACAAAACTGCATTCACTATGGTAAGACTGAACAATGAACAGTTGCTATTGCAGCTGGCCGTATGTATTTATTTTTATGTGACTGTTCTTTTTATGTTGCATGTGGGCTTCTAAGGCTTTCGTATCCCACCTGTGTTCAACAGCTATGTGGATAAAAAAAAATTACCTGCTAATGGTTTTCAGAAATTCAAAAGGCTCCTGATGCTGAAATTAGAGAGATTAGTGCATGTTAACCTACAAGGCAGAAAAGAAGGGCAAGCCTGACTTCATTATTACAGTCCCTCGGAACCAGAGGTGGATCACAGTTATCATATTCTATATATAAAGTATAGTTTTCTAACTGTAGGTACCAGAGCATCCGCAGAACAATGACTAATGACAGGCCTGAAGAGCATACAAATGCAGTGGATGGAGCTGGAGAGGAAACTGACTTTCACCATTCTAATGCAGGTAAAAAAAAAAAAAAAAAAAGATTTATTTCTTGCTAAATGGAGCATTCATCCTGTAGATGATTTATTTAGTGACATAAGGCAGAACATAATTTTTGCCCCTGAAAATCTGGGTTGCCATTTGTTTTCATTGTTGTCTACTTTTGAAGATCATGGCTCACCCTGTTTGATGTGCTGAAGAGATGAATGTGAGATTCAGAGCCTTTTGCTGTCAGTGCCTGACTGTGTTAAAATATAGGCAGACATTTACAGAGAAAGAGCATAAAATATAGGACTACAAAGGACTTTGAGCAGTCACCTGTTTCGTTTCCTTGGTGAAGGTAGATAGGATGGGCTGCACCTAACCCATCCTTGGCAAATTCCAACTAATGTGTCCTTACTGTATGCAATCAGTGGATATTCTGTAACATTGTGAAATAGACTATTCCTATCCTTGTTAGATCTCTTAATTATTTTGTTGGTGCACTCAGGACTGTCTTCAGTTAGTCTGCAGCTCCTTAGGGATATTTCAGAAAACTAAACGTGTCTGTGGCTGTTGTACTGAAAAGACTGGAAACTTCCCATGTCTTACAGACAAAACTTCTTACACATAATTATTCCTTTTTTTTTTATTCCTGAATGACACTAACCACCAATGTTCAGTCTTTGATCTGCAAAAATCACACCTGGACCTTTGCGTGCAGATCTTCAGCATGGAAGACTGATTATTCATCCTGTGTTTGTGCAGTTGATTATCCATACCTGCACATAGATCTTTTCACTTTTCTAATGTGTCACTATGGATTTTCAGTCTTCTCCATCCCACTGTCCAGCTACTGCAGCATACTCCTAGTGGGAGTAAGTTCTGTCCTCCTTATTGAGTCATTAATAGAAGTAATGAATGGGACCAGACCCATACAGATCTCAATGGAACCTCATTTGGTGTAATGTGTTTTTTTTTGTTTGTTTGTTTGTTTGTTTTTTTTACTTAAGTGGTAACTATTCTTCAGTACATTGTTGAAACTGCTGTATACCCCTGATGTTTCTCCCCAACATGATTCTTATGATTCTGAGAGTATCAAGTAAATAGTGTTAAAGGCCTCTTAACATTCATAGGTTTGCCATGGGGACCTCGTTGCAATTTATATTTATGGACATGCTTGGGAACCTGAATGATTGGAATTTATTTATTTTAAATGATTGTAAACTCAAGTTCTGATATTTTCAAGATAATCAGTGCTATATTAAAAACATTTCAGGTGCAATTATAACATGTAATAAGTCTGAAATAATTGTATACCCAGTGCTTTTCTTCTTGTGTGAATCCATTTAATGTAGTTGTTTGCAGTAGTGTTTTGGTAATGATTATTAGTGGATGTCATTCACTTTGCTTTTAGATTTTCGAAGAGAGAATGTGCTGCCTCACTCTACCTCCAGATCCAGACTTACTTTATTGCTCCAGTCTCCCCCTGTGAAATTTCTTATCAGCCCAGAGTTCTTTACAGTGCTGCATTCTAACCCTGTGAGTATAGTTTGTACAGGTAAAAAACTTCCATAAATACGCGTTTATATACATGGATGTCTTGCATGCAAAGAGACTACTCAGTGTTTGACACTAAGGTATTGACAGTATTTAGGGAGGTGGGATACATTCAAATGCTCATATCATTCCTTGCAAATGGTGAGCTATCAGACATGGCTATCGTTGGTATTAGACCTACTACAATTTTTATTTTTGACTCAGCTCTTCATCTTTTTTAGGATACCAAGCTCACTTGTTTATTTGAAACAATAGCTTTCTTATTGTGCTTTGCAGAGGGTGACAGACAATTCTCAGAATGAAAAGTGCAGCTTCTGTTTTAAGGTGTTTTTTTTGCTGCTCATGGGATTGTGTGTACTCCCCAGATTGCCTGGTTTATATCAAAATGTATTAGAGATCACGCTGGACAAAAAGACATCTTAATTTATGTTTTCTATTTTAACTGTTCTTCAGTGATTCTTCCTATATAGTTGTTTCAGTATTTTTCTTCCTTTGCATAATGGGGTGTATAGTGTAAACAGAAGTAATGGGATGAATAACTTATTGTCTGCAAGCATACTTCTTAGTAATCCAGTGTCGTGTTTTTTTTTCTAATTACTGGTTGGTGTAAATTTAATTTTGACATGTATGCATGCCTGAATGTGGCTGAATAATTCTGCTTGTTCTGCACTGCTTTACCTTCAATATTTGAAATAGGGCAGAAGTGAGTAAGACATTTGGCCAGGGAGTAGAGGTAGGAGCACAGAGTGATTTAGGCAACAGCACAGTGCAATTGGAGAACCTATGTTTTAGCTTCTGTCTGTTGCTAATCCTGAAACAAAGACTTGATTTCTGGTTGTCTGGGATCTTGTTTTGGAGAAAAGGGTATTAACTGTTTATTTTCCCTTTTATTTAAAGTTTTATACCTTAGTGCTCTCAATTTACTCTTCTATTTTAATTTTATTAGATACATTACACATGGGCATGCAATTAATGGGTTCTTCCCCCCCATCTTTTTATATTTTTAAAATGTGTAGGTAGAAACAATATTTATATAGAGTTGTGAAAATTTCTACAAGGATATATGTGTCTATCTTGCAGAAAATCTTACCAGCTTTATGACAGTGTTCTTTCTGTGGCTGCATTTGACTCTTACTCCAGAAATCAGAGAATATCTATGAAATCTCTAATTTTTAGCAATTAAGATTCTTCACCGTTCCAGGGACAAGAGTGTGGTAAAAGGAGTCCGAAATAGAGTATTTCATACTTTGCTGAAGTCAGTCAATAACAGAAGTTCATATATATAAAGTAAAAAAAAGAAATATTGAATACTTATTCCAAAACCGCAGAAAGATGACCATTTTTTTATTGTTGTGGCTTAGTTGGAAATTATTTTTAAGGGTTAAGATGATTTATTTATGGTGGAAATGTCTTTTTGTAGTAAAAAGAAATTTTATCTTTCAAAATTATGTACTTTTGTTAATGTGTTTTTCAGAGTGCCTACCGCATGTTTACAAATAACACGTGTTTGAAGCACATGATCACCAAAGTCCGGCGGGACACCCACCATTTTGAGCGCTACCAGCATAATCGTGATTTGGTTGGCTTCCTAAACATGTTTGCTAACAAACAGCTGGAGCTGCCAAGAGGTTGGGAAATGAAACATGACCATCAGGGCAAGGTAATTGTAATGTATATGTAGCTCTGCTGAATGTTTGATTTTTGGAGGTTTTAGTGTTAAGACTTACTTGGTTGCTCTTAACAAGAGCATAAATATACATAATTCTCCAAATGTAAAAGGTGCACATCCTTTTTTTCTTCTTTTGTCAAAAGTAGATTGTAACTTCTTATCTGTGCTGACAAAACATTATATGAAAGAAGGAGACTGGTAAGTGTGTATTAACTACTACAAGGAAAAATGGTAGAAAATGGTATAGTATTTTTACTGTGAAATAAGTTGGATATTAAAAATTTCTTTTGAAAATAATTATCTAGTGTGCAGCTCTGTGAACTTTGAAAAAAAAAACTACAGTGAGTTTTGCCTGTGTACTCAAGAAAATTTAAATGTAAGCTTACTTAATTTTTATTAGTTGATTTTGATTTAGTTATTGTTGAAGTATTTATATGAGCTTTTTTCTCTAACTGTCAGCTTCAGCATCTCAAGTGGAATTTATTAGCATTTATTATTTGGTCTTATTTTCTTTAATAGTTAACAATTTTCTTTGGTGAATCCTCCATCCAAATGCTAAGTAGCTCCAGTGTTCATCAGCTTCTGAGATATCAATGTACTCTCAAAAGCCCTCGGGATGCTCATTCTGTTGGCTGTGTTAACTGGGTAGAAACCGTGTTTAATGAGTTCTATTAAGTAACAGGGATCTTGAATGGTTGCAAATTCTACTGCTTTTCAAAACAGATGTTGCTTATGAAGTTCTAACAAAATATTTTAAAATCAAAGAAAAACAGACAAATTTTTACAATAGTAATGTAATTTTAATGTAAATTTAAACTAGTGCATTCTTGCTATCTAGAATATGATTTCCTTTGCAAAAGATATTAAGGTTAAAAATAGACTGATTAGCATGTGAGAAAGTGATAAGGCTTAGCAGTTTGTATGAGATGTCCTATTTAGGCTCACTAAGCTTATCAGTTTATAACTTTATCAGTCTTCATAGGCTTAGCTGTGACTGTCCATACAAATAATAGTCTTGATGCTTGAAAAGATTGCAGACAGCTCCTAAATTGAAGGCTAGAAAAAGTGCTCGAGGGTTGTTTTCTTCCTGGATTTATTGACTTGAGAAAATACTGTGTTTTCCCATTAGATAGGGATGTGCAATTATATTAACCTTCTCATCTGCACCTCTCTGCCTGTCTTTTCTGTTCTACATCATCCTTTTCTGTTCAGTCCTTCAGAGGCCAGTTTTCTCCTGAAGAATATGGCCATTTCAATTTACTGCAATAGGTGTTCCATAGAGAGAGTTAGGCCTCTGGGTTTCTGGTGTGGTGTTTGGTAACAGTAATACAATGACAAACATTAATCAGCAAGAGGAAGCACTGAATAAATCCCCGTTGGGATTTCTTCACTTTGAATTATGCTCAGTATTGTTCATTCTCATTATGTTGGATTGTCTTTGTCACAGGCAGTACTTGTGGCCAGTAAGAAAGCTTATTCAGCAGTTGAGAGAGATGATGGCCAGTACATGGTGACCAGTGCTTTATGAAACAAAACCGAAACTCAATCTACTTTTATTAAAGTATAAGCTATAGAGAAGCAAATAGAAATTAGCCATGCCACAATATATAATTATGTCTCTTTTCCCTGCCTATTCTTTCTTGCTGAGATGAGGTTTTCCTTTATTTTTGCAACTATATTGTAGTAAGAGGCTTGGTGCTCTTGCTCACGAGGCACAGTGATTGTTCTGACCCTAATACAGCAGAGTTTATACACCCCGATGTCACTGCAGTTCTGGTGGCTTGTCCTCTTTGCAGGCTCTATTCTATGTGCAGACAGGGACCTCCTACCTCTGAACTCCCTTCAAAGCTGCACAGCTAAGCCCAGCTGCCCACTCTTCTTTGACTCCTCTGCCTATCCCCTTCAGAGGATAAAACCTGTTTGGCATACAGTTCTTCTGAAAGGGTCTGCTGTATCTCAGACAGAGTATCCGATCAGCATTATGGATCAGTCATCAGTCACTGGACACAGGGAGGCAGAGGGCTGCTGGGGAAGGCAGCAACAGGAGGCATCATCTAGGCCAGAGAAGACCTTGGGCTGAACCCAGTCTGAGCAACTATTCTGGAATTGTGTGCTGCCATGTACACGTATACCTAAGCACCCCAGGGCATTTGTGCAATATGTGTAGGCACATGGCAGTATTTTAAAGACACCTGTAAATGTGTGTGCTTTTTAAACAGATCTCCACTAGATGTTAAAATAAATAGTAAGTTTATAGTAGGGTTGTTTTTTTCTTTCTTTCTGTGGTCAAATTGAGATTGGTTATTAATGTCCTGAATAGGAAGAAATAATTTAGGCATCTATCCATGTTTAATGGATTAAATGCAGTTTTGGCACACCAATCTTACGTCATTTTCTTCAAGCTTTATAGATTTATGAATTATAGCTAACAAGAGATATGAAAGGGATTTTTGGAAAAGAGACTGTGAGATGCACTGTATTTTGAGCTGTGTGCCAATGTCCAGATCAGCCTAAAGGTTTGAAGCTCCAATTATTTTCTTCACTGAAGCTTTAAAGTAGTAATTTATGCTATATTTGAAAGTATGCTGCTACTAGCTGGCCTGCAAGCATTCATACTTAATAAGACGCGATTGTTTTAAACTTACTGTTTAAGGTTAGTTGTTTATTTAAATTTAATGCTAAAGAGCACTACATACAGTATTAGACTTCTGCATTGAGTCAAAGAACCATGTAGTGCAGCTGTAGGTAGTACTTTTTCCACTGTTGAATTGGTACTTTTTTTTGTTGTTGTTTTTCCTATGTGATTTTACAGAATAATGTTGGTTTAATGAAACTGACCTTTGGTTTGATGAAAGTGCTTCACAGCTTATAAATATGCATAGGCCAGACTAGATAAAGTAGTAGATAAAGTGTTTCAAAACAAACAAATTAACTGTTAGTAAGTGAAGTAGGCCTATCAATCAGGAGCAAAAAATTCAAAAAGCTTAGATACATTCCAACAGTCCCTTTTGGTCATTTCCCAGGCCCCAGACTGAAATTTTAGAAATGCTTTCACAGTGCTTTCCCACTGCTTTTATGTTCTCTAGTAGGTAAACTTGTGCTGCTGCTGACATCATCGTTTGTCAAGGTGAACAAGTCCTGCATCAGGCTCAAACACTGCAATTAAAATTGCAATTGTTTGATAACACCATGTACTTTGTGAACTGTGGAGCATTGTTTCACTTAAATATCTGTAACTATTTCAGCTGGTGAGAACAGCTTCTTAAAGCTTCTTCTTTAGTTTAGAGCTTCTAAACTTCCTTTGATTAGTGTTCAGGTGATGTGATTCACTGCCTGTACACACAGGTCACAAGTTCAGGCATTGCTGTTAAAGCTGTAGGAGGCTTGCTGCCCTCTTCTGGAGTGTTTCTGAGGTTCTGCAGGTTTGGTGTCCCTCCTGCCTCCTGCATAGCCAGGTGTCAGCCTCAGTTAGCAGCTCCATATACTTACCCTTCCTTGGGAATTGGAAATAATAACATTTTCTCTCACCGCTGTCCATAACAATACTTAGTTGCTATATAGCATGGCACACTGGTTTGTCTGCCTACTTTCGCAGCAGTCAGAAGAATTCCATTTTCTCTGTTCTGTGTATACCAAGCAGCCTGAAATAATGATTTCGTGTATGCTCTAGGCTGCTGAAAGATCTAGCTCTTCTTGTCCCTGGTGGGCTGACTGAGGTTAGAGGAAGAAGCAGGGAAACAGACAAAGGAGAGTAATTTTAGCCTGGACCAGTTCCCCAGCTGGGTTCACTGCTTGGCCACACAAACACTTGTGCCAGCACAAGTCAGGAGGGGTGCACAAGGGATGAAACAAGTGGTCAGGGTAGGGGAAGATGGGAATGTTTATTTTGCTGACACTGCAGGACCGAATTGTTTTGAAACTGTGGTCAAAGTACCTCACTGGTATCACAAATAGAAATGGTTCCAGCAGTCCCTAACCACCTCTCTGCTGGTCCAGACTCTTCAATTCCTCAAACCAGATGTCACTTTCCTGTTACTCTTCTACTCAAAACCTGGCTTTTTTATTTTATTTTTTTGCTATTTCCACATGTTTCCAGCATTGTGACCAAAAAAACCTAAAGTGTGTTGAAATAGGACTGCTGGTTTCCAAGTGCAACACTAGCTCTGGAAAAAGTTTAAATCTCAGGGCTTAGAAACTTTTTTTTTGGTTCAAATTGGAATGAAGTGCAGGAGGTTTTCATTTTCCAGGATATGTGTTCCTGTGACCTTGCTTTCGGCAAATGGCTGTCCAGTCAGTGTGTGGTTGTTCTCACCAGTTACCTGGTTTCAGTGTTTTTGTTGCCACCTTCTTTCTGTCCCTGACTGATGTTTTTTTAGGTTAACAAACATTGCAACAGGAGGATGGCAAAAATGCCTTTTGACCTGTAATCACGGTGCAGCATAAGATGCAATCATGCACTTAATAAATACACGCCCAATTGTATTCATAATTACATGGTAAATAGATCACAAAGGGGAATAGTTTTGCCACTTAATGACATCTTTTTAGATGTTTATAAGGAAATGAAAGAGAAAAAACACACACAAGGATGACTTTTATTAAACATTTGAGTCTCTTCTTAATGATCATAATAAAATTTCTGATGCTTGTCAGCTGAAGATTTCAAAGGGCTTTATAGACATGAGTGAAGCAAGGTATTAAAGAATTCATCCCTCCAGTGAGTTGAAAAACTGTTATGCTTCATCTGCTGAAGGGAATCTTTTTCATGAGCCACAGCAACATGAAAAAGATTTTCCAAAGCTTAACATCAGAGCCTGAATACACATTAACCTTAGCCATTTAACTCTTTGGTGGTTGGGTAGTCTTGCATCACAGAGTTGACTAAACATTCCTTTTCCTTTCTCTAGGCTTTCTTTGTTGACCACAATTCCCGCACGACCACATTCATTGACCCTCGGCTTCCATTGCAGAGCAGCAGGCCCACTAGTGCTTTAGTCCATCGGCAGCACTTAACCAGGCAACGCAGCCACAGTGCCGGTGAGGTAAGTTTGATTTGCTCCTCCTTGTCAGGAGCCATCAAGTGTTTAGTGTCATTCCCATCACATTCACTCTTTCACATCATTACATTCACCACTCCATTCTGTCACAAGGGGCATGATTGTCCTGTAGCTGGATGGTACTCAGCTATAAACGTTTATTATTTTATTTGCCAACCAGAAACCTCATTGTTTCTTTGGAAATATATAAATATATGGCTTCAGGAAAAAAAAAAATCAGGCATGAATTTTTAATAATCAGTAACCCCATTTAACAACAGGAAAGCATCTGATTACAGATTACAAGTATCGATATCCTGTCTTTTACAGGATACTTAATTGCCATCTAGCTTGTTGTCTGCCAGTTATGTTGTAACAGCTCTGCAAATAAGAGAAAAAAAAAGAAAGTGCACGTGTATATACATCCAGATGTGCAACTACCTGAATAAGTGTAAAAAAAATATCTTACCACATGGGTTTGTCAGACTGTTATATGTACTTAGGTATGTATTTTATCTCTGCTTTCTAAACAGAAATACATGGAAAAGACTATTCTGTTGCTGGTGTCGCTGTGGACCATTTTCACCAGCAGTCCCCATATTGTTGTAAATTCTTTTCACTTGTGAGCAAATGTGTATTTACAATGACTCAAACTTCAGTTGTAGTTGTTATTTAACATCCGTACCATTTGCTGTGAGGAAGGCTATCCCCTGACACAAAGAGGAATATGCATTAGAATAGCTAGTGAGATGCTCTGGTTTATCCTATTTTTAGCTTGGAGTTGTGGCACATGAAGTTCTGCCAGATAGCTGTTTCAAAGCAGGCATGAATCTTCTCTGCCACTTCTCTAACAGAGCTTCCGCTGAGCTGCAGCGAGTGTTTTACCATTGGTTGCATGTCTTGTCATATCCTGTATGAATATGGTTTAGTTGCAAGGGGTACTTTCCAGAGCTTCCCTTCCTCCTCACCTCTCACCCTCTCCCTCCCCAGGTACATTTTACAAATGGTTTTAAATAGCATTTTCTGTCAATGTGGTTGTGTTTCATAGGCACTCATGTCTTGCGGCAAGCAAGACAGCTGGAAGTGTCTTCCTATAGCTGTTTCAGTCTTCCACAGGGTAAAACAAGTATTTGTTTGATTTATAAGAGAGCAGATCTTTTTTTTTTCACTTTACCAAATATACACGCCGATTATCGTTCTTTTGCACTTCAGAGTGCAGAAGCTCTGCATCAAAAAGATAAATGTCAGCTGTGCTGCTTGAAGTTGTCAATACTGCAACATAACCTGCAGGAAGTCATCACATTATATTGCATATACAGTGTTGATTTCCTGCATGAATTTCCTATTCCATCAAGACACGTGAAATTCCTAAATCATAGTTTCTGCGTGGTATTTTAGAAATATTTATTTGATACAATTACAGTTGTAGCTTTATTTTGAATATAAGTATAGTTCAAGATAGAAATCTGAAACAGAGCAATACAATACAGTATTCCCATTCTGGGACTGATGATGTTATGATGTTCATTTATATGCATATGTTTGAATCAAAAAAACAGTTTTTCTTCTGCCGTTATGACTTAAGGATTGCATATTTGTAGCTATTTTTAACCCATTGATTTCTGTATGTTATTGCAGAAAGATGAATGCTTAATGAAAAAAAATCTCAAAATACTTTATTTGCCTTGTCATGAACTTTGATGTTTTCAAGCCATTGACCCAGTTTTTATAGGGAGATGCTCTAAAGCAAACAATAACTAATGTAAGGAATGCCTTTTCAGCTAAAGCTGAACTGCAGCATGAAGCTGGAGCTAATAATAATGTTATTCCTTTTCCAGCACAGTGCCTACAGGAATTTATTTTTTTTTTTCTTCTGAAAGAGTATTATCAGAGTGCACAGAGATCTTGGAAGATGTTTCAGTACTTCTGCTGCTTTGTGATGACAGAGATTTGATTTAACAAAACCATTATAATTACTTGATCTTTTGCAGTTGGATTTTTTGGAGTTCTTTGGAGTGTGGAAGTGTAGTTCACATGATAACAATTATGTATAGGCTGAGGGACTGAGAATTAAACATAAAGGGCAAAGAGGATGAAAAAGTGGTTGAACAAAATGCCTTATATAGATAAAATAGAAAATACACTGTAGGAATAACGGAAGCCTCAGCATACAGAAAATTGTGGAAGTTGCTTTGACATCACAGATGCTACCAGGAACAATTTTACATATAAAAAAAAAATGTTCATATGCAATGGTTCACTTCCAGAAGGAGAACACAAAAAATTCAGAACAGTTCTCCTAAATGATTGTAAGAAACATATTTTTACCAGTTTGGGACTCATTTGCCATGCTGAATGTGAACTCACTTCTTTATCCTGCTGTTTCAGCCACAAAATTCTTTCCAGTTTAAGTTTAGGGAAGTTCTCATGCACAGAGGTAATAGAGGTTACAGTGCTAATGAAAGAGCTGAATTTGATCTTTAATGTGGATAAAGATGCACATGAATTGCAGTGATTGTGCTTACTTGTACATTTTCAGGTTGGAGAGGACTCCCGTCATTCAGGACCACCAGTTCTACCAAGACCATCTAGCACATTTAATACAGTCAGCAGAGCTCAGTACCAGGATGTGGTTCCAGTGGGTACGTCAACATATGGTCTCTTTTCAGAGAAATACTCTGTGACTGAATGTGTCACGTCCGTCTGCACTGAAGGTTTTTTCATTTGGTTGGGGTGGGTAGAAGTTATGATTTGTATGTTATGAGCAATCATTCAGTTGCAACCTTCAGGAATAGCACTAAAAAGCGTCTACACAGAATTGAACAACTGATGCAAAAATTCTACCTGTGCTGAGCTTCCTAATCCCCCCTACTCGAAGTGGTGTCAGCGAGATGAAGACAGTGAGTTAAGTTGGGTCCTAATTGGACACCGTGTATTTCCAAGTGATATTACAGAACTTCTGGGCATCTGTTTTGGCAGGAGTCCAGAAAGAGTTAATCAGCTTGGAATTAGTCATTAGCTTAACTTCTGTTCTCAGTTACATACACACAAAATTACTGATTTCTGTGCCACCAAGAACAGAATTTAGCTTCCTGAATCTAAAAGCTGTCATGTTGTGCTAAATCAAGATAAATTAATCCGATTGACTATAACTGGATTTTTGTAATGTGGTATGTTTACTTGGAAATCTCTGCTAATTTAAATCCCTCCCCTTGCCATGGATATGGTGTGCATTCAATGTAGGCTCAGCTATTAGAGAGGATTTGAATGTGGATGTTTCCAATGGTTGTTTAATGTTTGAGAATGGATTGGACACCAACATCGAGTGAGTCCTGGAATCTCTTCAGAACAATGAATACATATATAAGAAAAGACATAGAGTACCTACTTTTTGCCTTTTTTTCCTCATTCCATTACATTTCAATAGCTTTTCTCTAAGTCTGCCTATAGCATTTATCAGCTCATCTTGGAAGGCTGAATGACTGCAGCCTACTTCCTTATACATGCTGTCTGTTGGTACTTGAGAAACATGGCCAAATATGACTTGGCTGTAAGTCAACACTGGAAATGCTTATACCATCAGAAGTATGTTTAGCTTTAGATAATGTTTGTTAAGTGCTGAAAATGAGTTTACTATCGTATTTTGATATATGATCTTACAATTCTAAGAATGATAGCAAGAAAGTATATGTTATTGAAGTATAAGTTATTTAATAATTTTATTTCTGTCTTTTTGCAAAGTTACAAAGCAGAAAATGAGTAACATTAATCTTTGAATAATTTGAATTGATAAATAAAATCTGTTACTACTAAAATGACATAACTGGCCTGATTATATGTCTGGTCAAAGTCTTGAAAAGCTGCATCTCAGTACCAGATAAAGTTACAGGAAGCACACAAAGAAGTATGGATTAAGGTTTGGGGAGGAGCCTGGATGTACAGACATCTGTTTGATTACATTGCATTTCTGAAACTTAATCAGGCCCTTAATATGGATAGCATTACATGTTACTTCTCAGAGGAAGAGGTGAAAAATATTCAGCTACATGCAACATTTTCCTACATGCAACATTTTCCTACATGCAACATGCAACATTTTCCTACATGCAGCATGTAAGAACTTTGTAATGTGTAAGGGTGTAGTCGTCTTGTATTCTTACATAGCATTGTAGGTCTAAGTTACCACACAAATGATGAGAAGAATGACATTTTAAATTGTCTATCAATTTATATGTAGGTACTTAATCTGGTGTCTTAGTAGTGCAATCAGATAGACACCTCCAGAGGGCAGTTCATCCCTCCTACACTACTCATTCTTCTCCAAGAGCCTCTGGAGATTACAGTGATACTGAACAGCTAGGGAGGAGAAGCTAAAGGTAGTTAATAAAGAACCTTGTCTACATCACTATTAAATACACCACTAGAAAACAAGGTATTGGATTCTTCATTACCCTAACTGGTATATTTATAACACAGTAAGCAATGTCCTTCATGCTCTGTGTCACTTCATATTGCCCTTGTAGGACTGAATATGGTTCGGTGCAGTGAAAACTAAGGTCCTTGCAGTTTTATTCTAGCAATGAATTCTCTAGTTTGGCTTCAGCTAACAGTGTGACTGATAAAATGCAATACGAATTTCTAACAAGGTTAGCACTGCTAGCAGTGGGAAGTGTATGGCATAATTAGGTCTGGTTCATTGTCAGAGGAAGCATGTTCCCCACGATAGCAGTATCAGTAGCCTCACATGATAAATATATTGACACGGTCCCACTAAAGTAGTGGTAGAACTGTGAAGATAAAGTTTGCTGTCATTGTTGTTCAAAACCCAAAAGAAATGTCATCCTGTCTTTTAGTATATCATTGTTTCAACACAATATTTTTGTTGGTGTTTTCAGCTTACAATGACAAGATTGTTGCATTTTTGCGGCAGCCCAATATCTTTGAAATTCTACAAGAGCGTCAACCAGATCTTACCAGGAATCATTCACTCAGGTAATAAAATTCATGGAATCTGCTGTTCCAATCTAATACAAAATGGGAATTCAGAATAGTTTTTCTTTAAAATTAGTAGTGGCACATAACAGGTTGTAGAATTTTGGCCTGTGAGAGAGAAACATATCCATAAAGCTGTGGGCAGTATTTCTTTGTTGTACTTTTTTGTAATTCCCTGAAATAAGGTTTAGAGAAACAACTGAAATGTGGTATTACAAAATGAAGGTCAAACAAACAAACTAACAAACAAAATGTATAGAACAACTTATGTAAGAGATTTGCTGATGTCTTCAAAACATGCCAGGACAGCTGGATGGCAAGGCAAATGTGCCTATTCGTTTGAGGATGTGTACAGCTGGGAGTGTGAGGCAGGATGGCATTTCATTTTGTTCTCATCTTCTCAGTGCACGCCTACAGAAAGGCTGCCCTGACCTAATGGCCTTACTACTCTTAGAGCAATCAGAATTTTTAGTGTTGGCTCCAAAATTTCAAAAATGTATGTATAAAAGTTTTTGTATAGCCCAATGAGATCTGATGAAGGATGATCTTCGATTGTTACACAGTGGCTGTGATTTCCCAGTATGGTTAGAACAGAAATGCGAAAAAGTGAAATTCCAAAAGTGATGAGATCCCTTTTAAAGTGTATCCTACACAACGACACTTCAGTTTACTCTCTTGGGTGTAAAAGATGGAATAATTGTCTACCTGGAGATTAGTGTTAAGTGCACAAACCACTATAACTGTTCTTACTTGGACGCTAACATTAAAAATCCTTGGTTTGCTGGTTGTGTAGTAATAATCATGTTGGTTTGGGTCTGTCCTGTACAGAGCTGCCAGTGTGGTGCAGGGTTCCAAATGCCTGTTCATATTGGATGACACAGCAGCCAGTAATGATTTTCACATTTATGTTGTGTTACGTACTGATCCTTTTTTGTCCACATCCTACAAGTGCCCAAAATTCAACAAGCTGCCCTGTTTTGCAGTTTCTCAAAGCATTGCATTCTAACAAGCTTTGTGATGAGGTTTCTGTGTTAAAAATTTGATCTGTCCTCTGAATAAATCCTGGTTAACAGCCCTGAAATGAATCACAGAATCACAGAATTTCTAGGTTGGAAGAGACCTCAAGATCATCGAGTCCAACCTCTAACCTAACACTAACAGTCCCCACTAAACCATATCCCTAAGCTCTACATCTAAACGTCTTTTGAAGACTTCCAGGGATGGTGACTCCACCACCTCCCTGGGCAGCCCGTTCCAGTGCCTCACAACCCTTTCAGTAAAGAAATTCTTCCTAACATCTAACCTAAAACTCCCCTGGCGTAACTTTAGCCCATTCCCCCTCGTCCTGTCACCAGGCACATGGGAGAACAGGCCAACCCCCACCTCGCTACAGCCTCCTTTAATGTAGTTATACAGAGCAATAAGGTCACCCCTGAGCCTCCTCTTCTCTAGGCTGAACAAGCCCAGCTCCTTCAGCCGCTCCTCATAGGACTTGCTCTCCAGGCCCCTCACCAGCTTCGTCGCCCTTCTTTGGACCCGCTCAAGCACCTCGATGTCCTTCTTGTAGCGAGGGGCCCAAAACTGAGCACAGTACTCGAGGTGCGGCCTCACCAGAGCCGAGTACAGGGGGACGATCACCTCCCTAGCCCTGCTGGTCACAGTGTTTCTGATACAAGCCAGGATGCCGTTGGCCTTCTTGGCCACCTGAGCACACTGCTGGCTCATATTCAGCCGACTGTCCACCATCACTCCCAGGTCCTTCTCTGCCTGGCAGCTCTCCAACCATTCCTCTCCCAGCCTGTAGTTCTGCTTGGGGTTATTGCGCCCCAGGTGCAGGACCCGGCACTTGGCCTTGTTAAACTTCATACAGTTGACCTCAGCCCATCGGTGCAGCCTATCCAGATCCTCCTGCAGAGCCTTCCTACCCTCGAGCAGATCGACACACGCACCTAGCTTGGTGTCATCTGCAAACTTACTGAGGGTGCACTCAATGCCATCATCCAGATCATTGATGAAGATGTTAAAGAGGACCGGCCCCAGCACCGAGCCCTGGGGGACGCCACTAGTGACTGGCCTCCAACTGGACTTGGCTCCATTCACCACAACTCTTTGGGCCCGGCTATCCAGCCAGTTTCTAACCCAACGAAGCGTGCGCCAGTCCAAGCCAAGAGCAGCCAGTTTCTTGAGGAGAATGCTGTGGGAGACGGTGTCAAAAGCCTTGCTGAAGTCAAGGTAGACCACATCCACAGCCTTTCCCTCATCCACCCAGCGCGTCACTTTGTCGTAGAAGATCAGGTTCGTCAAGCAGGACCTGCCTTCCATAAACCCATGCTGGCTGGGCCTGATCGCCTGCTTGCCCTTCAAGTGCCGCATGATGACTCCCAAGAGGATCTGCTCCATGAGCTTCCCTGGTACTGAGGTCAAACTGACCGGCCTGTAGTTCCCCGGGTCTGCCCTCCGGCCCTTCTTGTAGATGGGCGTCACATTTGCTAGTTGCCAGTCAGCTGGGACCTCCCCCGATAGCCAGGACTGCTGATAAATGATGGATAGGGGCTTGGCCAGCTCCTCTGCCAGTTCTCTCAGTACCCTCGGGTGGATCCCATCCGGCCCCATCGATTTGTGCACATCCAAGTGCCGTAGCAGGTCACCAACCAGTTCTTCGTGGATGGTGAGGGCCACATCCTGCTCCCCGTCCCCTTCCACCAGTTCTGGGTACTGGGTATCCAGTATATATAAATGAAGTACTAGTAGAATTCATGTTCGCTAGAAATCAATGAAAAGGAGGATAATAAAAATCCTACAATTCTCATCCTGTCAAAACAGTTCCTATGTTGCATATCACTGCAGGCAAATTATCCAACCAGGGTTGATTTGAGATGTGAGCAAACTTATCTGCTGGGAAATAATATAAAAAAAGAAAAAAAAATCCAATTATTGGTAGTTTTATTATTCTATTTTCCTTTCCCCATGGTGCTTGGCTTTCTTTACTCTGATAGCAATCAAAATACTGTTTTCTTCACATGTTTTGTGTTGGTTTTGATGATTTAGAATTCAGACTGTTCAAAAGACTTGTTGGTATTATCAGATTCTGCCTCTTGTATAGCCTTGCTTCCTGATTGCAAAATCCTGATTGCCACAAGCTGAGCCCTTCTCAAGAAAAGATGATTTGTGGATTAAAAATGGGAGATCAAAGGATAAAATACGCTGGCTTCTGCAACTCCTCAGTTACTGGAGACTGTATATTCTTTGGTATATTTACTTAGTAAATAGACTGAAGACTATTGCTTAATATGTCTAATGTATCTGCTTTAGCAAAATGATCAAGGATTTTAATGCACGTGGTTTCATTTTATATTAAATATTACTGGTCTGAGAAACCATTCTGATAAGCTAAATGGTTATTCTGCTCTTCCTCTTTGAAGTTAGTATATTTTATCAAAGCGTCTCCTGTTATACCTCTCCTATATTCTTATAGAGCTGATGCTTCAGTAATATCACTTACATTTTTATAAAGATCCTACCAGTTAGTCTTTTAAGACCCTGATTTAGCGAATTTTGGTATCCATATCTGACACATTGTGAGACTAAGTTATGTCAATGTCGTTGCTTAAATACTTAATGAAATAGGACCTAAGTGAAATCCTGAATTGTGAGTTGTCTTTTTTTTTTTTTTTTGAAAAACGGTTAGTACAACTTTCTGTAAACTATTTCTTTGATGTCCTCAGTATAACCAAGGTTGTTTGACAATGATATTAAATATTGCTATTGCTATTATTATTACATAGGTGAGGAGGAAAATCGGTATTTGGCAAGTGGAAGAGGATAGAGATCATTTGAAAAAAGTCTTACATTTTCTGCCTGATTTATCATTTGTAAAATGGTTGAAGAGATGTAGTAAGAAGTTGAGGGTCTAATAAAAATGTACAATAAAAAGGTACTACAGGTAGGAGCAGACCGTTGTTCAGAGGTTTTATGGTTGAGTGAGAACATTGTACTTACACTATTATTAAGCACATAGTCAAGATCAAATCTCATTGCAAACCACCATAGATAAGAGAGGCTGAGAGGCTGTTAAATTATATGAAAGGGCTTCAGGCAAAGGCACCTATCATACCTTAAACATAATTTTTGTCCTAACAGAAGGTAAAAGGCATATATTTAAAAACTGTTGTAAAAATCACAGCTCTCAGTGGTAATCCCTGAGAAGTCGTAGATTGCATTTATTTGGAAGGCTGCATACATTAACCCAGCAGAGTTAACACTCTGGAAGTGTGCAGATGTCTCTGACATGGGCACTTTGGGGCCATGCTCATGGGTGGGCAGTGTTTGTTAGTTTTGGCTCAGCACTGTGCTAGAGAAGCAATGGGGCTTCCAGACTGAACTTGGGTCTTGGTGTGTTGGGACCGCAGGGTTGACAAAGTGGTTGCTTGACCTTCAGTACCTGGCTTCACCGGGAAACACTGAATTACACACTTCTGCTACAGCCACAACTGCCACTCTGGCAAGGAGGAACTGAGGAGCTGTGGACAGCCTGAACATGCCCCTTTTTAACCCTCGAATATGCTGTAAACGTACTGAAAGTTATCAGGGAATTTACATTAGGCCCATTGTTTGAGAAAGTCTTTGTGCACAGTGTTTTAGAGACAGATGACAAGAAATTTGGTTTGACCTTTTGGATGAAACTGCTCTGCATGAAATGATGTGCTCCAGAAATGCATACTGCAGTTTAAATTGCATGGTGCTGCCAGCACTCGTCTTCACCCTTTTTACAATGCTGATTGCAGGGATTGTTTTTGTCTTCTTTGTCACTGTTGGTGATAAGACAGTGGGATAGATGGACCTCTGATCTGAGCCGATATTACTGTTCTTATGTGGAGCTTTTTTCTGTTTTGTTTTGTTTACCTCTTTGGAATTGGGATAGTTGTTAACTACAGGGGTTTGTATTTGGTTGTCTTTTCCTCATTAAGAGCAAGGCCAAATCATATGATGATGATAATAGAGAGAAATTCTATCTTGTACTGATAATACTGAAAATAAATAGGATGTGCTTTCATTTTAGAATGCAGGAAAAAACTCTACAGAGAGAAAGAAAATAAATCATCCAAAGAATTACATTCAATATAGATCCTAAAAATCCATAATGAGGTTCTAAAAATCCACAGTATGTTACCATGTGCAGTGTTTAGGATGCGTGGATTCCACAGTAGTGAGCAGATTGGGTTTGGGAGGAGGGGTGTGTGCTTGGGTGAGGCAGAGAGGAAGAAATAGTGCAAAGGTTTTCTAGAAGATGTGTTAAATACAGTGTGTTTCGAAAACCCCACTTTAAAATCACAAGCAAGCATTGTTATATATGCCTTACATTTGTACAAAGGTTCAAAAATGACAGTGCCTCTTTAAGCAGTTCACTATCCGAATACTAATTTCCTCCTGCAGGGCTCCGCTTGCTGCTTTGAATTCAGGTCCACAGCCGGCGTGAACTTGAAGGATTGATTTTTATTGGGTGCATGGCTGTACTATCTGAAGCAGCCTGAGCATCAAATCGATGAAGACAACAGGAGACTCATTCCTGAGAACAAACTAGCTTTTTGGTTGTAATATGTTACTGCTCACATGGATGTGGTGTGAGAAGGGGAAAAAAATGGTTTCTGAAATACAGAGGCATAACCCAGAGATTTTTATGATATACCCTGTACTTTTTCTTTTAGCTGGGGTGTACGTTGGTGCCTTATTTGCAAAAGATATTTTAGAACTCTTTTTTGGCTTACTCAGGGAGAAGATCCAGTTCATCCGGACAGAAGGAACACCTGGGTTGGTGCGTTTATCCAGTGATGCAGACCTTGTCATGTTGCTCAGGTAGGCACTGCTGCTTTTGATGCATGTGTGGAATATGCTGTGGCAGCTCCTGAGGAGTCTTTCAGTGAGCAGAGCGTACTGATTTAGTGACTAATTGTTTCCCCTTCAGAACCTGGACTTGCAGCTGGGGTAGCTAAAGCCTAAGGGCCAGGTTTTTGATTTTTGTGGGGTTCAGCTTTTAGGATGGTAGTTGTTAGCTTGGAATTCACATTTTTTTCCTAGCAGAGACAGAACATGATACTCTGTCTGAGGAATGGTGAGGGCAAGAGCACTGTGCTCATTATTCACACAGGTTTTAAGGAGAACAACACATGGTAGTGAATGTAAAAAGAAGTGCCAGAAAATATCCATTAGAAAAAAATCTCATGCAAAAATTTTTCTAGGTATTTGTTCCTTGAACAGACATAGTAAGAAACATCATTTATTTGAATATTGCTTTTAAGCTGTATAGTAAAAGATTGGCTTGTGATTTTTTTTCTTGAGCTCAATTTTTGAAAATAGATTTAACGTATGGGCTCAGCAGTTTAATCTTACCGGTGTTGTGTTTAACATCCGACATAGGCTTTGGTATCAGATTGGTTCTGATTCTAGTTATTCTGGCGTTTTTGGCTTTGCTTGTATCAGCAGTGCAAAAAAACCCTGATATTTTAATATATACAGGCTGTACACAGATGCAATGATTAGGCTGCAAAATGTTTATTGTTTTTCCGTTAAATATTGTGTAGCGATACTAGATGAGGCATGAAATAACTCAACCTGAACAGACTAGATGCCATACCAGGTTTCAGCAACAGTGTTATCCCTAAAGATAAAATAAGGAAATAACTTGTTCTGCCAACAAGGTTACAATTCAATACACTCAACAAGTTCAGATGTGAATCTTAACGCTGGAGGCTTAGAATATTTGCCTTTGTTTATGGTCTTTGTGCAGTATGACAGACCTTTTTCCAGGAATGAGTAACTAAGGTTTTTTTTACCCCTTTGTTTATAACAATCCAAGTGAGAGAAAAAATATAAAAAGGTTAATTAAGTATATTTTAGTCTTGAAAACAAACATCACATTTTGTATATTAATGTCCCCCAAAAGCAGTAACTACTGCTTTCCTGTAACTTTCAAGATCCTATTAAGGGAATGGCAATTATACTGTAAGACACTAAGTGTACATAGTGGAAATAGGCAAGTGAGTATGAAAGAAAGCAGGTTAGTTACTAGAGATTTTTCTTAGAAAGCAAAAAACGTCATTCATTCTTTCAAATTAATGTGTTATTTTTTACTTGCATCTTTTTACCAGCTTGTTCGAAGAGGAGATCATGTCATATGTGCCGCCACATGCCTTACTTCATCCTAGTTATTGCCAGTCCCCAAGAGGCTCACCAGTGTCCTCGCCTCAGAACTCTCCAGGTAAGTTGCTCAGGCACAAGTTTCTGCAGGGGCTGTAAGAAGCCATCTCTCATACACAATAAAGACTAGTTCCAAATCAGTAAAGCAAGTGGTACAACCCTGCTGCCTTCCCAGAAGTCAGAGAACAAAGACAATAGAAAACTTGTCTGACAATAGTTTTTTTTTGTTTGCTTTCCAAATTGAATTTCATGGCAGCCTGAATCTGAGCCTGTCATTTGGAAACTATAACCTAACCTTTTGCTATCTGCAGTTCCCAGCTTTTACATGGGCAATGTTAGAAGAGCTGAAGCACCTTCTGAGTGGTCAGTGAGCTTGCAATTGATGTCTTTGTCCATTGCAGTACTTTCATTATGATGGTATCTATAAAATATTGCAGTACAGCCAGTCCTGTAATTTCATTTACGTTATGCTGCATGAAGTGACTTCCAACCTTTAAGAAGATCCAAGCTCTTGTTGCTCCAGGAACAAAAAAGATGTAGTCCTATTTTTGAGCAAAGCCAGCCAGTGTGATTGAATTTGACTATCAAACGTGAACCTTTGCCTTGGGCTCACAAGGTGTTTTGTGAGTAGAAAAGACTGGTGTATTCCAACTCCAGAGTATATTATTTTGTTCTGACTTGTAAAAACATGCAAACTTGTTTTTCCCTGATGTGAAACAACCAAGTGACTGCTATTGTTCCTGATGCCTTCAAATGTTGACAATCTTGATGAATTAAAAATACAAGATCTATTAAGTTTACTTTAATATGTTGCTGTTTGTGGGGCAGTAAGTGATAATGAATTTACGTAAAGCCAGATTGTTGTGTCTCAATGTGAGTTCGAATGAGAGCATCTTGAGGTTGAAAATACGTGTCAGAGTGGAAGGAAGTTGATTTTTCATGTATTAACTAATTATGTTTCTGATCAGAACTAAATTATATCAAATGTGGCAAGTTTCATCTGACATTTGAAGGCTAAGTACAATAATGAAGTTCATGAATTTCGCTATTCTTCGTGTTCTCAAGAAGGTATATCAGATGTGTCCTAGGGTGATTTCTACAAATTAGAGAACAAAAACGTAGATAAATGAGAACCTTTGGGTTGCAACCAATGCTGGGTAGTTCCAGACAGTTAGAACGTTTTATCAGAAGAGGTATTGTGATTTTCATGGGCATTTCCTGGTCTACAATCATCAAAACAAAAAGCTATGCCTTTTCAGGCGGCCAGACTAAAAACATTGGTAAGTATGTCCTGAGTGGCAGTTCGTCCTTCTACTGGGCATAGGACTTCTGTAGGACCTATTCAGAGAAAGTATCCTAAGATACTAATGATCTTATGGCATTCTGCAGTGCAAAACTGATGCTTTAGGTACATAAATGGTTTAGCTAGAACTGTTTCCCAGTTCCATTTCTTCATTGCAAAGAAAGGAAGAATCTGCATGTATGCATCTTACTTCCAACTACAAACCTGGCAGTCTCTTATGAGTAAAAACATTTTTGGCTTTCAGAGTTGTAATTTCTTTGTTATTAGTACATACACCAAAGCATGCTGGGCAGGGCTTCAGTCCAACAGAGTATTTCAAAATGTGTTTAATCTATAACATGTGATACTCTTGTCTATTCCTCAAAGAAGTAGCACACTGTAAAGAATGAACAGTGATGGCTTTAGTCCCATTCTTCTCAAAATTCTAGTCTCTATGCTATTGCAGAGAAAAAGATACAGTGGCCATTGAATCTCCCTGTTTGCCTGGGAGTCCGCATGTTTGTGTTGGTTTTCAAATAAAGTTCTATATCTTTTTTTTTTTTGATCAGAAATTATAAATGGCCCATGACTTCTATGGAGGCTCTGTTTTTTCATCAGCTAAACTGGCTTTGCTGCACTGCAAGAGGTTTCATGTTAAGGATCCATTGTTTAGATCAGTCACAATCAGTTGTACTTTCTCTTTTGGGAAAGATGAATAGTCATGAAGCTGCTCTTTTTAGAATATAATCTCTTTGAAAATCAAATGTGATTATCATCACATCACCTGCATTTTTTAGCTCTTCCACCAACATCTTTTGTTCCCAAGGCGGAAGTAATCACTATAATTGCCCAGGAATTTCTTGGCATATGCATCTGATTTGCAATGAGAACTTGTCATGTGCTGACAGAATAATATACTGCTGATTTCTGAGCCATGAAGTAATGCGTTACCAGATTTACATTCTGTGGTATTTCTTAGCAAAAACTTCCCTCAAGGGTTAAGATGAAAGTAAGCTTTGGCTGCATTTTTTGGTGACTACATTTTGTACCTACTTTGACCCAAAGCGGAATAAACAAAGTAGGGGGAAAAAGCCAATAATTAAAAGGCTGTTTACAGTTTCAAATTTATGTAAGTTTTCTAGAGAATTCAGCTGAGAAAGCATACCATTCAAAACCTTCATTGCTCTCAGTAAAATAGGATAACCACTGTAGATTAATCAAAGACCGTGATTTGTTTCTCCAGAGGGGTTCTGCATGTTCCCGTTGGAGCTCTGAGGATTCCCTGACACTTGCTAGTCCTCCTACACGTCACCATGAGCTTCGAACAAGTGCCAAGTGTCTTTCTTGTCAGATAGGTCTTTTAAACACCAGTGAATGGCACTCAGTGTTAATACTGATCTCACTCCTCCCTCTCTGGTCTCTGCAACGAGACTGATTGCAGCTTCTTCCAGCAGCCACTTCCGCAGGATGTGCTCGTTGCCTTTTTCTCATACCCACGTAGGCTGCGGCTTAGCAAGCTGCTGGATTTTCCCCTGTTCATGTGTCCATGTGAGGGTGCATGTTCTCTCTCTCTTCTAACCTGAAATTTTACCTTATAATGCCATCACCCTTAAGAGCAATAAATGTTTCTGTATTGGCTTAGTTTCATACCGGGAGAGAAAAGAAAACTCATGTAAGAACTCATACAATTTAAAACACATTTAAAATACGTTCTTCTAAACTGCATTTCCTGTGTATTATGGACCTGTTAGATGATCCCCAGTTACAGATAAGTAGTTAGAAACCTATGTTTAATGTAAGACATGAGAAATTTTTTAATATCCTCTGAGTTTTTGAGGGGGAGATGCCTTCACACTCACAAAGGGAAATAATTTCTTAATGTAAAAGTAGGGTTGAGAAGATGAAAGTCACAGGGCTAGGGTTAACTGCCTCTTTGGCACACTTTCTTGCAATTAAATCAATTGAAGTAATTTATCCAGGAAGTTTTTATCCAGTGGAAGTTTTAGTTCTAATAGTTGTAATATTCAGAACAGATCAGACTGAACGCTTGATTTGCATATACTGGACTTGCATGCACAGATGTGGTGGGTATGTAATTTTTTGGCATACAGATCTTTCTAGTTTTAAGAAACTGACCCTCAAAAAAGTTTTAAGAAACTGACCCTCAAAAACACATTCTCAAAGAGAAATTCATTTACATCTTCACATGTGTTCTTGCAGTTACAAATGAAAAGTTCCACAAGCTTAAAACTGGTACCTTTTCCATTCTTCCTTGTACTTTCCCAAGAGAAAACTTCCACTGGGGAATTTCCAGAAATCTTCCTTTTTCAGCGTGATATATTCAACTGGGGAACAGCAGAGGACAGTATTTATACTTTATTTCTGAGGTCTTGTTTTTCCCGAGAATATTAAAAACAGAACAGAGCAGAACATTTATGAGCAAGTTCATGATTATGAACTGTTTTAAAGGTTTGGTGTAAAGTGTCTGTGACAAACAAAATTAAGGCTTTCCAGTTGATCGTGCCGCTTTGTAAAATCAATCTTTTGCATTCACCTGGATTTGCACTTTTATGGCATGCTTTAGAAACATGATACTATTGGAAATGAGCAACTGGAAATTCTTGGATGTAGAGCGTATTTGAAGATACACTGCATTTACTCATTTGTAAAGGTGACTAAACCAAACACATCCCATGCTGTTAGTCTTTTTGGTAGAGCATGGGATATTAATCAATCCATGTCACTACAGCTCATTCTTTGTTTATTCCTGCAGGTACTCAGCGTGCCAATGCCCGAGCTCCTGCTCCTTACAAAAGAGATTTTGAAGCCAAGCTGAGGAACTTTTACAGGAAGTTGGAGACTAAAGGATATGGACAAGGCCCAGGGAAATTGAAGTACGTTGAAGAATCTCATGAAAATGGATTAATTTCTCAGGCAGTTTGCCTTGTCTTGCATGTCTACAAGCTTTTTCCCTTTAGAAGGAATGTAGATGTTATGGTTACCTTTGCACTTCTGGAAATATAAAGCCTGTCATAAAAAACTTAGTGCCAGCATGTGATTAACTGCAGAGGATACAGCGAGTTCTAAGCTCTTCTTTTCCATATTTCCAACAATTGTATTTTCATATGAACAATACTACTAAAACAGTGGCAAAAAGCGCTTTTTGAAAAGGTGTGCAGAACAGGAGGCATCTGAACTCTTCTATTTTAGCAGTTGCTGCGCTATAAATAATTATATTTTCTTCTGCCTTTTTCTGTTGAAAAAAAGCAGTTGTTCTTATCTTTTGCATATCCTTGCCTGTGTTGATATTGTGGTCCTCTTTAATAAAGAGGTCCTCTTTTATGAGCTCTTTTTAAAGAGGGCTCATAAAATTAAATGTTAAATTTGAAGGATCACCTTAAAAAACTGTTAATATTTTTAAGTTCAGCACTCTGACTGCTGGAGTGCTTAGAATGAAGTCTTTCCTGCTTCATTTATTTGGCAATCATGTGATTACATACTCTTATGTTAAGGATCTTCATCAAAGATACCTTCATAATTCTGTAAGTCTTGTGCCAGGTAAAAACTCGCATAGTTTAGGCAAATCAAAATCAACTGTAATGAAAAAGTACAATTCCTCCCATGCAAATCATTGCTCTACTTGTCTCCCTTAACCATGAGGCACTAGAACCCTTTTAAACATTTTTTTCTGTTAGAATAAGGGATGATTTTTCCCCAGCCAGTCGCTCCTCATGTTTTGCAGGAATTTGTGCAGAGCTCAGACTTGGTTTGTATGACCTTGTTAAAAATTTCCCACAACTGAAACAGAGTTCAAATCATGTTGTTCAGACAATCCTAAGAGGCCAGGGACTGAACTTTATTGTCCCATAATGTAATTAAATCATAAGCAGTTAAAGCTTAATCTATAAAGATTTTGTCATGAATACAGTGGGCAAATAGCTGGTAAAGATGCTACCTGTAAGATCTACATGTATTACATTTCTTGCATCCTTTTTTATCTGACCTATTTGCCTTCACACTGTGGATTTTTAAGTTCGAAAGACAGCCTGGCTTCAAACAGAAGTTTTCCCTGAGTTCCTTTCCCAGGCATACACTGACCTGCTCCTTTTTTTCAAACAAGGACCCCAGCACATTTTGCCTGCTGTCTGGGTCTTCTTATTGCACAGGTACCAGGCAAGTTCCGGGCTTCTTCCTCTCCATTTCTATCTCCTCTGCAGGGTAGAACCCTGCAACTACGGACTGATCGCTGCACAAGCAGTAAGGCCAGTAAGGGCTTTGCAAGATGATGTGTGGAGGGGCAAGCTGCCTCTGTGTGGGGCACAGCTCCCACCTTCAGTCTGAGTGATCAAACACATGCGTAAGGCACTATTTGAATATAAGGCAAGCCAAGTTTCAGGAAACTAATTAAACACTCTTTTTTTTTTTTTTTTTTGACAAAAGATGAAATGTTTAAGTAAGTAGGATTCTCTTCCACCTCTTATTTCAGATCTTTATGATGTTTCCTTACTCCCACCATTTTTCTGTTAAAAGGTATGGTATGTTTTTACAGGTGATGCCTCAGTCTGATTTTGGAGGAATAATTGAAATTGCTTCTAAACTTGTCCCATCACACCTATGCTGGGGATAATGTAGGGATGTTCAGTTCTGGAGTTATCATTCAGTGACTTTCACACAACTCCATCTTCTGCCTTGTTAAGAGATTGATTTCTATATAAAAGGTTATGTTCTTGCTTACAACAAGACAGATTTAAAGGCCCAGCCTTACAGAAGGATTTTAGACTTAATGAAAATGCTTACTTCAGGATCTTTCCCATTGTGGCTGTAATATAAGGAGGAAATTGAGTAGAAAAAATTAAAATGATATTATCTCTGTACAAGAGACATTTTACTGAAATATAAAGTCAGATGCTTCAGGGATCTAACAGACAGAAGCTGCCTGATCTGGATCAAATTATCCAGCAGAAATAGGTATCAGTGCTCTAGTAAGACACCCTCTTACTTTGTAGTGTAAATAAATGTTTCCAAGTGTGGTTCATGTTCATGAATTGCTGTTTCGAAATTATTTTGCTCTTCAGATTAATCATCAGGCGAGATCACTTGCTAGAAGATGCCTTCAACCAGATTATGGGTTACTCAAGAAAAGACCTGCAGAGAAATAAGCTCTATGTCACATTTGTTGGGGAAGAAGGGTGAGTAGAACAGGGAAGTAAATGTGATCTCAAAACTCTGTCTTGCAGCTGTGCTGTTTCACCAAACTTTTTGTGGTCTAGAGTGAAAAGAGGAAGGATTGTGGTCAGGAAATGCCACATATATAAGCCTAGAACATACAGCTGTTCAAGATTATTTTTTTTAGGCCTTGTGAAATGTAATGCATCCTGCCTTTGCAGAAGTAGTACATGTGTTTATGTGAATTTTCACAATAGTCAGTGTGTGTTTCAGAGTGTTGCTGGGAAAGCAAAGAGAAAAACAAACGGCTTTCTCATGTTATTCATATTTCTTTTCTGTCAGTGCTGACATTATATCTCTAGTGCTTGTTAAAAGACAGCTGCCATTTGTTGGAGGGGGGATGCTTCCAGAATAAACTAGATGTTTAATCCCTAGCTCGTGTCCAAGGCAATGGGAGCGGAAGGCCCTCAGAGCTGCAGGAGGCACCCGCTGTCTCTCTAGGCCAGGGCCTGCATCACAAATAAAAGCAATTAGGCTGTTGCCAGTTGTCAGATAGACACAGATACTGCTGATATTTCAAAGTCATTTCAGAGAATGCTCAGTCTGTGTCTCAGGAAAGTCTGACGTCTTATAGATCGTCAGATGTGCCATACAAGGCAAGATGTGGTTAGATTTTCTTTGCAAGTGAAACTGGAACAACGCACTATTGGCCTATTTTGTCTCTCTTGTTTTGTGTCCCCTTTGTCAGATCTTAAAGCCTTTTTCATTAGGTACAGATATTGTTATGGATACATTTCATGAATGTATTTGTAAATACATTCAAAACTTTATTCCTTGATATTTAGGAAACTGCAGCACACAGCTCTTGGAATCCTGTAGCGTGTGTTACTGCCGTGTGATGTGTGAGTTTTTAAAACACCTATATTGTAATAGAAACATCTCATACAAGATGAGATAAAGTTAATCTGTCTTTGAAAACCCTAAATACTGTTGTTTGTTTAAAGTTTACCCTGAAGTGCTTAGTCTTAATACGGATCTACTGAAGTCTTAAAATAAAAAAGGTTGACAGCTGAGAGCCAAGTATGGACATGTTCATATAAATAATATCACTATGCTGTCTGAGGAAAAGCTCAGAACTGGAATGACAAGGCTGGTGCAGGATGAGATTACACTATATTGACGGAGCAGGGTGGGGATGCAGGAACAAGGCCTGTCTTACACAGCCCTACCAGACTTTACTTTCACAGCTACAACCTCGACTCAGATTTAAAAATGAAAGGGAAAATTTGAAAATCATACATGAGATAGAGATTGATCCAGATAGACTGTCTCCTTTCATCAGACATCAGACTTTTGCAGTTCATCACTCAGTACAGAAAGATGAAGAGTGACCTGGAAATGGAGGTGACACATACAGTTGTCATTATATCCAGCTTTACACAAGACTCTCTCCTAATGGGAAAGAATGAGTTAATTAAGAGCAAAGTCAAATTAAAATGACGTCAATTCTCTGTTTACAAATCTGTTTTGAATGAAGAAAGGATATGTGCAAACAGTATTGTTTCATCAGAGATGGTGCAAGGATACGTATCACATCAAACTATTCATTTGGCTAGGTGTAGAAAGACAGGTCAGGGTGGAGGAGAGGAGGAATACTGGAGGCAAATTGTTTCCTACTTGCTTCTTTTTTAAGACAGTTCATTGGAATTTCACTGTTGCATTGCTTTGCCTCTTGGTAAAGTCTTGATGTAAGACTTAAAGTAAGGGAAATTGAATCCTCACAGAGTGAAACTCTGAGTAACTTTTTTTTTATATGTACTTACTAATATGTATACACTGTATGTTTGTATATTAGTAAGTGGGGTAATTCAGACATGTTTATTGCCATTCATACAGCTTTTATTGTAAGTCTCACAATGTCAGTCTCTTCAATTTCTACAGTCATGACGGTGATGCTAGTTTAGTGGTTTTTGCATTCATGTTTCACGTGGTAAAAGTGAAGAAAATTTTGATGCAAAGAATATGATTCTTTAAAGTTACTTTCCCTAAGTTCCATTAAATATTAGCAGAAGCTGGTTTGCGTTTTAGAGTGGTAAAGCTGAAGTATTAATGGTGCTTCCCGGGAGACGTGAGTCATGTTGCCAACAACATATTGCTCTGCTCCTGAATACCCAAATGCCCCACAGTTGCAGCTGTTGTGTGGTTGCATACCTCTTGTATGAAGTTTTCTCACCCTTGTGCCAAGCCTTTAATTGTGGGATAAATCTGACTGACAGTGCAGGACTCTCATGATTGATTTATTTAACATGACTCACAATAACACTGTGTACAAAAGGAGCTGTGTGCAATGGCTGATAGTCAAGCACACAGTTTCTATTCCATCTTCAGATTTCATAGTGAATCTAATTATCCCAGAAGTTTGCAAGAGTCTTCCAGATGACCCTTTTCTTGATCTGGTATTTGTGCCAAGATTAAGATCTAACAGTTGTCCATGATATCAAACTGTTATTTTTTCCTGCAGTTTGAGGATGGAATCTGTCCTTCTTGCCAGGGTAAGAATCTGTTTCAGTACTTCACTTCTGAAACTTAGCAGAAGCTAAGTGCTTCCAAATGACTGAAGGGAAAATATTTTTCCTTCAACAGAAGAAAGAGGCTTTGTCCTCAACTTGATAATTGTACCTAACTTCTACTTGCCTGACAACTTCATCCTTACAAACCACGCTCATCTGTGTCTGTCTTCTTGAAAAGTTCATGAGCCAAAACCTTAGTTGCAGGAGTCCTATGTAAAAGCTGACCTTCTCTGTGATACTTCTGGCTGTCCATTGTAGTACTAAAGCAAGACCTTTGTAAAAGTTAAGCATGAAATCTTCAAGCTATAGAAGAAGCATTTCAATATATATTTGTTAAGATTATAGTAAACTCTGCTCCACACAGGATAATCTCTAGTTTTCTACCTCCACCAAAGCATTAACTTTGTACTCAACTCATTTCACTGGTGACCTGCAGCATAATGTCAAAACTCAGTGTTAGTGCTTTGTCAGCAATGAGTTTGTTTATGATTCAGGAAGAAGGGGTTATTTAGATTCCTTGTTCATTAGTACTGGAATCTTGAAATAGCAAAAAACCAAAGGAAATACACTCTCCAAAAGACATTTAAATGCACTCAACTTTGGAAGACAGACAAGAAAATTTAGACCAAGAAAGATAAATCACTTAAGTAATCTCAGGTTATATTGCTAGGAAAAACAGAAATATTGCCCTTCAAACTGTCCTATTGTTGTATGTCTGCATGGACAAAATATGACTATTTTTCATTTTCATTCTTAATTTGTCCAATGCAGACTGGTCTACTGCTGGATCTTTTCATGTTTCTTCCCTCTCCTCTCAGACACTTTCCTCGCCTCCCCTCCCCTCCTCCATTTATTTGGTTATATTCCCATGGCAAAAGACCATTACAGCTGGAGCCAAAAATTTTGATGAAGGCAGTCTGCGTAGAGCATTTCATTCCAGTCCTCCAAGCCATTCCATTTCAGAAGATCTCCACAAGGACTTCACATCCCTTTGCATTAAGCAATCTGCAGGATAAGGGTTCTGGTTAAAATCTTAAGAAATTTTAATGGAAAATGTAGTGTAAGGAATGTAAACTTGAGAAAGTGTTCCTTTGCACACAATAAACAATATGTAGTAATGTCAAATTTCTCTTTAAAGGTTGGACTACAGTGGACCTTCAAGAGAGTTTTTTTTCCTGGTATCTAGAGAGCTCTTCAATCCATATTATGGTTTGTTTGAATATTCAGCTAACGATACCTATACAGTACAAATAAGTCCCATGTCTGCTTTTGTAGACAATCACCACGAGTGGTAAGAATTATTTCTCTTTCTTTGTTTTCAGATTGTTTTCTGCTGTTCTCACTTGCAGGGAACATTTCATGTTTGCTCAGACATATAAAACATAATTTTATCTTTTTATCCAGCAGCAAAATAATTGCATTTCTTCAGCATTTCCTCATTTTGTTTTCTCTTGTGGTGGTTTTAAATGATCTTATTTCTCACAAGGTCAGCAAAAGTGTGATTTGGAACGTGTGTCATGGGATTATCTCACAGTGCAACTCTATATTTCTTGTACGTTAGCAGACAGTCATTTCATGAAAGCAATATTAACTCTTTGTGCATTAAAAAAAGGGCTTGAAACATTGGCTTTTTGTCAACTAAGTAGATTAAGGGAGTTTTCAAATAGGTGTTACTGTATATAATTTGTTTGGGACTTCCTAAAAAGCATGAGGTCTCCTTAGTGGGTGGAGAGACACATACACACACACCAACACCAACACTGGATCTACTGGAAGCAGATCTATGGAGGTTATCTTAATTACAGGGGAGAAAAAAGACTGGTGGTTGCATAGCTCTTAAGCAAAAGTCTGTACATACACACAGAGTTCTAAAATAGTTGGCAAGGATTGTTTTAATGCCATTTTCACAATGATTAGCCAATTTAAATAGTTTTCTCATCATCATTTTCTCATGGCATCTCCAAAAGCTGGTAAAGGTTTTCTGTGAATATTAATGGAGAATTGTGCCGTGTAAGTAGTTAGCTTACAGTAACAGTAGGATGGCACCTGCTCATCTGTGTACAACAGATATGAAGCTAGTCTCTTATTTACTGGAAACCAGTTGTGAAGAGTGAATATCTGATGGATATCTCATTACTAGTTTTAAAAATGAATAGAAAATTAAATGTTGAAAATTAAATGTTCAGTTAGTTGAAGCAACCCACATGTTGAATTCCAACACTGCAGCAAAAAATGGTTTGTGCTGTCCCAGAAAAGCAGAACAATATGGCAAAAAGGGGAGAAAGAACCTTTGGTGCTGTGAAGCTTCTGCCAGCACTTTGTATTCACCCCTGGCTTCCACAGTGTGGGACCAGAGACCTTGTCTGGGGTGAGGGAGGCATGAGCCCTCTCTTTTGGGCAGTGCTGGTGCCAGTGACATCATTGCTCTTGTAAAGCCTCAAGGGGAATTCAGAAAAAGTATCTGTGACAAGCAGTTATGCGTGGAAGGAGGAGGCTCTGTATGTTGCATCCTCATCTTGCAAAGCCTGTATACAGGCAGGTAGAGTAAAGCCCTAATCTTTCCAGGTGAAATGTGGCTGAGGATGCATAAACAGAAAGATTAAGAAAAATGATTTCTTAAACATTAGGAGCATTAAAATCTAGTTCCAGAGATGTACAGGGTTTTTCACAATGGATCTTTATTCTCAAGGGCATATTTGCAAAGACCCTAAATGTTACAAAGTTGCTGCCATCTGATCTGAAATCTATCAAACTCCTCTCCACTATGCCACCAGGGGACTGAAGATCATTTAGATTGCTTTGACGTGGAGCTAGAGAGCACTAAGATACATGTGTGTTTTTTTGTTTTGTTTTGTTTTGTTGTTGTTTTGTTTTGTTTTTAAAAAGAGCAATGAGCCACTGTAAGTTAACAGAAAAAGAACACAGCAACAAGTGCCAGGCTGGGAGAAATGGTAGGAGGGGAGGACCTTCAGCTTTGCAGTGACAAAAAAACAAGTTAATTCTACATGGAATGTCTGAAGAAAATAAATAGTGGCTATCGTTTTGCAATATGTGCTTTTAAAAAGAGCATAGCATTGCAAAGGTTGAATGGGTTAAATACAGATTTGACATTTCTGAGAAGTTGCAACTTAGGTATCTAGGGATTTTCCATACTCAGCAGACTTGCATTTTTTCTGTGCCCTAGTGAGAATGTAAAAGAAAGATGAAAATAAAAGAATTAAAAAACAACTAAAAAACAAAAACAAAACAAAACAAAACACCACAATTTAGATATAGCAGTCTGATTTTAAAATGCTGTTTGGAAGTATAAGTAGGTTTTGATGACAGAGCAGTGTACAAAACACAGTCTCAGTACACTGATTGTAACTCTTTCTCTTCTAGGTTCAGGTTTAGTGGTCGAATCCTTGGTCTTGCTCTGATACATCAATATTTGCTGGATGCCTTCTTTACACGACCCTTTTATAAAGCCCTCCTCCGAATGTGAGTGGAATTGTTATGTCTCCTTTTCTGTTTGGTTCCTTCCCCACAGATGATGCCATTTTGTGTACCAATAAATGTTCTTATCCTCAAAGACAGGATGTTACTTATAATGCAGTCTTATCATTTCAATCCACCATTTTTTAAAACCTTACTTGTTGCTGCTTATGGTGTTAGCCAGTTACTTAAAAACTTGGGATGTTCTTCTTACTGATTTCGTGCAGATCTGTATGGAAACCTCATGATTTTTTTTAGCAATGTTATCAGCTTTCTTCTACAAAATCTTACATTTGAGCTAGTTGAATGAAGAGCTGTGGTTTTATTTCAGATACTAGTGGAGATGTTATTAATTTGTCTTGTAATGAGTCATAGGGTAGGATATGAATCACTTCATAACCTAGACTGCAAGACCCGCATTCTCTGATTGCTGGCAATCTCCATTTTGAGGAGTTTTACTTTGATATACTGCAGACTTGATTTTCAGAACTACTGCTGCTGTTCTGGCTGAAACAGTGAGAGCTGCACTTGCTCAGCATGTCTGGAAGTTAAGAACTAATGAATTTAAGGCGCTTCATTTTTGTCCTCAATTTGAAAGCTGTTATTGAGAAGTCTGGAAGGATATTTTTTTCTTTAAAACATGCATTCTAATAGTAAGGAGTCATTCATCCATTCCTGTTGCATGCATGTTTTTCAAGTACCTAAGTGCTAAGACCTAGTAAGGGTGAGGACTTGCCCTAGATTGACTTTAATACTAATATTGGGTGGCTGCCATGTTAAATCAATGATTTAAGCTGGTGTTTCTCTGAACAGTTAAGATGACAGTGGAGGATGGTGTGGCTGCCTTTCTACGTAGTGTAATACACTGCAGTTTCTCCATCTCAGCTTGCGATCTTCGCTTTTGAGCCATCCTGACTATCTCTGCAGATGGGGCATTGTGCCAAATCCTTGATGTATGGACTGTTACTGCAGGATGCCACTTCAACTACACTTAGAGTATCCAACAGAAGTACAGGGCTACTTGCTGACTTTATACATGCCCGAGAATGGGAGCAGGCAGGGAACCCTGCGGCTGAAAAGCAGCTTGATTAGTGATTAGTCCCAGTGTCCTGTTTCACATAACATGACATTACCCAGAGTTAAGAAGAATGGCAGAAACTACCAACCCAGTATTAAACATTTTTAGTAGTTCATGTGATCGAATCTTGGAGAAGAAACTTAAAAATTGACAATGGCAATTGGCTTACAGACCGAATTTGCAAAAGAAGGACCAGGTATGGAGAAATACGGATTTTTTTATTTTTTTTAAAGGAAAAAAAAGATATTCCTATGATAAGCAGGCTATGTGAACAGACTTCTTGGCACAGTGAAGAGGTAAGAGAGGGGGCAGTGTAGGTCCATAAGCAAAAGGGACAGTAGGTTTTTGTTGTTAAAAACTTACCATTTCTTTTATGATATGAATTTTTTCTCTCTTCAATCTATGTATTTTCAGAAAACATGGGACACACTCGCCGTAAGCCTGAAAAGCAAGTTAATAAATTTTGGATTTTTGCACATTAACAAAACCTGTTTTACTTATACATTAACTGCTATTGTTGAGCAAATAAAGAGAGATTTGAAATGGTATCTTCTTTATTCTGTTGATTTTTCTCTTAGCTCTCATTAATCTTAGTCTATTTTGCACTACCATTCTGAGTTTGGTTACTGAGCACATACTACTGCTCTCATCTGTATTTATGTATATTTGTCGTGTTTATGTTAGACTCTGTGACCTGAGTGACCTGGAATATCTTGATGAGGAGTTTCACCAGAGTTTGCAGTGGATGAAAGACAATGATATTCATGATATCCTAGACCTCACATTTACTGTAAATGAAGAAGTTTTTGGGCAGGTGTGCAATTTTCTTAATTTTCTTTCCTTTCCTCTGTGTACTCTACTGCTAGATAAACATTCACTTGGACAGAAAAATGGTTGTAATTCCATGCTGATTTGAACTTGGTTTTGTAAAATTCTAGCTGATGAAAACAACGTTGAACTCTCAGGAGTAATTATCATTTGTAACCTGTCAAACATGAATTTCTGGTTAAGGAGATTTTCTGGAAACTATCTGAAACATAAAAATTTCGGATTGTCTTGTTGGAGGTGGTTTCCCTAAATTTATTTGCAGTAGAGTTAGCATTCAGAGATATCACAACACCTTTGTTGTTACTAGTAATAAAAAACTTCAATAGTAGTAAAGTAGGAAAAAAAACTTTAATCTTTTAATCTTTTTTAAGGTAATTTTTTCTTTTCAGTTTAGTCCTCTTACTTTGGACTAAATATAACTTAATCCAAAAAGATGTGTTTTATGTTTTCTTGTTTCACATATTCCAATTTGCTAAAGTCAATCTTGGCTAGTGCTTTTGAGGAATTACTTCAAGTTAGAAGTTTAAATCATTGCAATTATTTCTTTTGTCTTTATAATGCTATATTGTCACTTGGTCATTTTCTTCTAAGATCACAGAACGGGAATTAAAGCCAGGAGGTGCCAACATCCCAGTCACTGAAAAGAACAAGAAAGAATATATAGAAAGAATGGTAAAATGGAGAATTGAGAGAGGAGTTGTACAACAAACGGAAAGCCTAGTTCGTGGGTTTTATGAGGTAAAAACAAAAAATCCCAGCAGAAATTTCATTTCTTCCGTTATCTCCCCAAAATATTTCTCTCCTATTTCCCAAATACACGGTCACAAAAAGCATCATATACAAATAGAAGTGTCCTTACAGATACGTGTTCGCAAAAATCAGTTAGTCATTGACTTAAATGCTGTGGTTATAGTAATTTTGATCATTATTTGTATAATTAGAAGTGAATGCTTGCTAAAGTGACCAGTTTGTCTCTGCTTTGGGCCTTTGAGGTTCTGTGTGCATGCCATACTCAGCATTGCACATGTGAGTGTATTTCAAGGTGTTTCTCGCTTACCTGTCTTATCATGAACAATTAAATTGGATGTATTGAACTTAATTTGTCCTGAAATACTTCAATATTTGCCAATAAATTTCTTTACCAAACTCTGTGGTCCTCCAATGCAACTGAATGGAACTGCAGCTTAAGAAATTAGGTCCATGTATTTGCCTTAAAAAAGAAAGCTTTTAATTCTTTCTATTTGTGAGACAGACGTCTTATAAAGATAAGTGTCTTAGTAAGAGACGACCCTTTTTTCTTTCCTTTCACAGGTAGTTGATGCAAGGCTTGTGTCTGTATTTGATGCAAGAGAACTGGAACTGGTTATAGCTGGAACAGCAGAAATTGACTTGAGTGACTGGAGAAATAATACAGAATATAGAGGAGGTAAATTCTGTTTTTATTTGTTCATTGACAGCATTGGGGGACCTGAAATTACCCAGTTTCTAAGTTTCTAATGTATCATCCTGTGAGATACATCTTTAGTATATTCTGCATTTCTCTGGTTAAGTTTGCTTTAGGACAAAGTATTTTGTCCATCTTAGTTTGCTACATTGCAATTTTCCCCTACCTCTTTTTGTCTGGACAGCATCAAAAAGCACTCCTCTCTGCAGGAGGTACTGTACTCACTAGCACACTAGTAGAGTACCACTAAGACACTGGGAATAAATGGAAATGGTAACCATTCATTACCTCTTTTCCACTCTCAAAGAAGATAGGAAATCAGAAGTAATCCCAGCGGCTGCAGGCTGCTGGTTAAGAACTGTTAAAAACAATGGGAGATTTGGGAATTCCCTCAAGAGAAACATTGTTTTAAATATATAAAGAGCACAGCACTGGAATATTTCAAGAATTGGCTTTCCTATTAGTGATCGCATAGTGCAAGACATGCTTGCAAAAGAGATATTTTTTTTGTCATAATAAATTAATTCTCTAAGATTTGTAATTATTTCAGAAGTTTTCTCTTGGCTCCTGCATTTTGCTGCAATTTGATAAGGAATGTGGCATTACAGTGGCTAGTGCCAAATTAGGAAAGATTTATTAACTGTTCTCCCAGTCACTTTTATAATACTAAAGGTATAAAGGCTCTTCTTGTTTTAACAGGTTATCATGACAATCACATTGTAATTCGGTGGTTCTGGGCTGCTGTGGAAAGGTTCAACAATGAACAACGACTAAGACTTTTGCAGGTAGGAAATCAACTGTTGTGTGTAGAAATAGTTTGCATCACTAAAATTAGATGCTAAAATAGTTCTGCCTAGGTGTATGATAGCCAAAAACAATGATGATGGCTAATGGGAGTAACCTGAATAACCTCAAGAGACTCATAAAAATTTTAAGCGACTAAAGCACACAGTCTATATTTTTATAGTTTTCTAATGTAAAAAAATAAGTTTAAGATAAAGCATGTGATGTCAATAATCCCTTACTAGTGTTTTAGACTAGTGAAGATAGTAAAGCATAAAGACTGGTAAAGCTAAAAAAAACTGTAATTGGTTTTGCTATTAGGTAGAAATTATAATATTTGTACAGCTTATGAAAGAGAAAGCTTAGATGGAAGATAAAGTACTTTAAATTAGAAGATGATGATGAAAATCTGAAAATCAGTCCAATTCCATTTTCACTAAGTCAGCCTGCAGAATTAATTTTGCTAATGAAGGACAAACTCCTTTCAACAGAGGAATATGTGTGGGCTTACTAGGGAGTTAAATTTTATGAAATACAGGTTATCTCCACTGTAACTGTAAAGAAACAACCCCACACCCCAAACCATAACATGTGTTTGAGCTCTTATTGAATCAGAATTTACATCTGATCGTTGAATTACCCATGAGTAGGATGAAGGGTTTTCTTTATCTATTTAAGTACTTTGCTTCAGAATTAAGTCCTTTTCTTACAGTATTCATTGCTGTTTATAACAGTATTGAAATTCACATGACCAAAAAGGCCTTACACAAAGCCGTTATCCTACGTGATTACCATTTTCTTAGTTACTCTTCATACAGAAAAAAAACACAGTAGGAAAAAAATGACTTAGGGCCTAAGCTGAAATAACTTGGTATTAATGGTGTTTTATTCTACAGTACTTGGGTAGCATAATTACTCCTATTACGGCTTTCAAAGAGAATGCTTTGAGGGAAATTATTCTGGGAACCTGTCTGTTCTAGAGCCCTATCAGGAAACAGCATGTTTTCCTTTATCGTACGTTTAAAGTAGCATCTATTACTTGTGTCTCACAAATTTCCTTATTTTGCAAATATTTTCGCGTATGCATTTGAACTGCAGTGAGTATGCTGATATAAATAAATTCCTAACCTGCACCATCTGCATCCAGTACCCTTGATGCTTTGTTTGTGCTGGCAGTTTGTTACAGGCACATCCAGCATACCTTACGAGGGATTTGCCTCTCTAAGAGGGAGCAATGGTCCAAGAAGGTTTTGCGTGGAGAAGTGGGGGAAGATCACTGCTCTTCCAAGGTACAACTGTGTGTTAAACTTGCATTAGTGATGTTAATACTAGAGGTACAACTAATATTCATTAGTTACTAGAACAGATAAGCCATTTGAGAAACATTATCAAGTTTTAAGTGAATATGCAAATATATTTTGCCTTGCTTGGAAATTTACGTCCTCACTGTTCCACTGCCTGATGCATGCATTTTTCTTTTTTTTTTTTTTTTTTTTCTCATAAGATGGACACGGCAGTGTAGCTGAGGCTGGCATCTATATTTCAATGCTTACTTTAATGGAAAATGTTATTAGAATGATTAATGACATCTAAACTTGGTTTTGTTACATTTTGATTACATCTGCAAGTATTTACTTCCTGAAGGTGCTGTTCATCATTTAGGAGCAAGGTTAATACAAATTAAAATAAAATAGCACCTGTGACAATGTCTGATTGAAAGCCAATGCCAGACTTCTAGAATGGGATGCACATAGCCATTAAAGTAGAGTTTAGTTGTGTAATTTTTATAATTTGATACCAAAACTGTGTGCAAGTCTGGAAGAAGCAAACTGCGGATTGCAGAAAAGGTGCATTTTGAGTAAAGGGTTGTTTGACTTAAGAGTATGAGAGTCCAAGATGCAAGCAGGATTTGAGTTGTGCAAGGTCTTGAAGACAAGAAGCAGCATTTAAATTGGGTAGTGACATGTTTGGAGGAGTAGGATGAGAAAAAAAAGTTGCGTTTTTTAATTGTTTGATTTTGTAAAAACAGAAAAAGAGAGTTGTTTTCAAAGCTTAATGGTAGCTATACGAGAACTAGAATAATGACGTTTGAGTGATGTAAGAAACCGCTTCGAGCATGAACACATTGACAATAAATAAATAAATAAAATTGCAGTTTCTATCCTTTTCCATATTGTGAAGAAGCTGATATATTGCTGGAAGTTTCCCTTTCATCCAGTTCTGGAATTCTGCAGTCTCTAGAATGAGATAACAGCTGTTAGAAGTACAGTAACATGTAAAATGTAGGTGAACTAACTGATTAGCCACATCTCAGCGTTCAGTCTGCTTCTTGTAACTTGTGGTAGTGGCTTTGGATTGGCCTGATCCATGGAGGAAATTCAACCTAAATCTAAGCCCATTCCTGCTAAACAGATTCCTCAGGAATAGCTTGCATTCAGAGTCTAGTTTTAGGCACAAAATGGTTGTCCAACACATGGAGAGTTTCTCTGACCAGCAACCCTTGGCTGCTTTCTCCAGCTTAATGTCAGAGGCAGGGATATCTCTTGGGTTCTCTCCGGCCTGCAGGCTGCCATTTGAACCACACTGAGAAAGTCAAAGAAACAGAAACAACAGTGTGAAATTCACAGACATGGCAGGTAGCCTTTACACAAAGCCAACTTGCCACCTTATGGTACAAGACAAGCAAATTCTGGAAATGGGTATTTCAAACTAAATACTTGAATACCTTTCAGAGGCTTAATGATACCTTGTAGTAAGATAAGCCTACTTTGTTATGGATGACCTGTGGGCTAGTTTTGATTCCGTTTCAAAAAGAAAAAGCTTTGATTTTCTTTTTCAATTATTTCTGACCAAAATCTAATCATTTGTTTTAAGTTTAAGTGAGAAAGTGGATTGTGGGAGACTATCTGAATGTTCTCTAATACTGAAATTCCTGGTGCTAACAAGCACAGCTCGCAGTGTGGAAAAGGTCAGGACATGCCTGAACAGGATGCTCACGATTTCCTCTGAAAAGATTGTGCAGAGCCCTGATTGTCATAAACTGCAGAATAAAACTACTTCTTGTAGAGCAACGTGGAGAAATGTGTAGAGAATATAAACTACCATATTCAGTTCAGCAAGTAAAGGAGAAATGCCAGCTCTTCGCATTTAGGAGAATCATGCACTTCAGTTTTAATTTATGATTCCCTTTTTTAGGGAACATTTGATTTCTGTCTCTGTAGATAGCTTTTAACATACTTTCACAAATGTGAAAGCTCAAGTAACCCAATGCTACAGTGCTTGTTAAAATAAACAACTGTGTATGACAAACATCTACAGTTGTTGTGAGCTGGCAATTCCTGGCATTCATATGTGGAACTTTGACCTCATAAAAAATAACTGATCTTCCACGTTTACACTTAAATGGACTAAGCCCTAAGCAGAAAGCTGTATTTGCATTTTTAAATATCTAGTTCCTGCGTACAGTCTAGCTTCAGCCCAAGTCTTACCAGCTTCAAAGACTTACTGTGCTAACACCAAGTAGTACTGGCTGGCAGGTAAGATGTTGTTAATAGTGATCCTGAATAGCAAACTTTCAGTTTTCCGAACAAGTCTTGTGTGTAAACACACTGCTGGATCTGATGAGAATGCTGCCCTGGGACTCTTGCTGATTCTCAGATAACTAAAGCATTTGTGTTCAGGCACCATCACTCACTTGTGGCAGTGTTACAGTTTGTAAATGGCTCTTTTAGTTTCAGTGGGAGTGCTTGTAAAGTCTGGTAATGCTTGGCATGAGTGTGGCAAAAGCTAGGATTCAACAAGTCAGTGGATTTTGCTTTTTTTTTTCCCTGTTTCTAAAATAACTACTGCACAGCTTAAAAACACACAAAAACACCTGTCCCTATTTCTTCTTCCTAATTTTGAGGCACAGAATGCAACTAATATAGTTACGTAGGTTTGTGATTGTGGTTTAAATGTCTCTGAATATAAACACAAACATGTTAATTTGATATGTATGGAGTTCACAGTGCTCTGATTGCTGTGTAATCAATTGTGCAGAATCAAATTACTGAGATTTCTGTGAGACACATCAGGTTGCTTAGCTGATATCACTGTCTTTTACAGTAGTAAGTCAGTAGCACGTGAAAGGCCCTGAAAAGGTTGATTTTTATGAGTTTGGCTTAACTATTGCTATCCCTGATGCCACTTCTATTCCTTTCTTTCATGTTGTGTTGTATATCAGACTAAATCAACAGGGGGACTGTTATTCTTTCAGTTCACTTCCTTGCTGAGAAGTTGGTTGTGCTCCAGGTACTTTTCATTGCTGTACAGATAGGAGCTAATAGTAACACATGCAACGATTCACATGCAAATAGTATGCATCTTGCTGCTGGACTTTACTCTAAGTCACTTTATTTTACTGCTGTAATACTGTTCAAAATGTAATGAAGTGGAGATTGACTGGAAATTTCGACTTCAGGAACCAAGGTACTTTTCCTTATGTTACCAAATATGAGTCCAAGAAAATGAACAATTAGTGTCCACATGATTTGGTATGTTGGAATGGAAAAATGCTGTCCAGAGAAGAAAAACCTTTCCTCCTGGAGGCTTAAAATTTTCTTGTGAGGGTGAGAAAGGCATACATTCCCTCAGTAGGCCAAGATCTTAAGTTTTTGTCTTTTTTAATGACTTGGTTTTCCAAAGTAGGTGATTATGTTTTTAAAATCGCCCTCAAAAAAAAGATAAAACTCAATTCTCTTAATAAATGTAAATAATATGCCAAATTACTATTAAACCAGCTTGTAATGAATCCCTCACTAATTATATACAGTGTCTTTTATAAGTTGTGGTTTTACAGCCCACACAGCATGATCCATACTTCTAATGAGTGGTTGTCAGCCCCAAGCAGCAGAAGCATGTGGTTAGGCTGTGAATTGCCTAAGACTCTTCCACAATCTTCGCTGAGCCTAAGCAGTCACTGAGCCCTTCCAGACACTGTGCTCCTGTTGCCCATTTGCTGCTGGGTCTAAATCAGCCTCTTTCTCCTAAGTGGAAATTTCTATTGAAACCATCATCATAATAATGAAGGCAATAATAGTTTACTCTGTTACTTTGTAAGAATTTTGGAAAGGCAAAACAGAGGTACAGAGAAAGCTTTCCTTCAAGAGCCTTAGCGGGGTGGCAGAGTGGAAGAATTTTTATCAGGCTTCTGGAGTACAGGCTGGGGAAATGCTCTCTCCACTATACAGTATACACTACAAGAGTACTTTCAAGCATACTGTATTTAGGGGTGCAAAATTCAGTTTTTAGTATAAATCTTTAAAGTGGGAAAGATACTTCCTCCAGCTTTCCTTGCCATCATTTCTTCCTCAGAAACATACCACATTAAAAGCTCTGTCTATTTCAGTAGAGCAGGCTCATCCACCATGGTGCTTTAGAAAGTATTTTCCTTAGCCTACACTGAAGCCAGGCAGGGACACTCATTCTACTAAAAGAAGAAACTTTTGGAAACTTTTGTCATCTCCCTTTTTACTCCCTGGAAGAGGTTTCAAGAGTCAGTTCAAAGCCTCAGAAAACTGAGGCAGATGGACTTTGGAAACTGAGAAATAAACCACGTGGTTTTACTTTTCAGAAAACAGGATGGTATGTTATAGCTACTTACATAGTTTTGTGTAATTACAAAAAGCAGTATTCTAAAGGTCATTGACTTGCAGGGCCAGATACACAGATAGCGTAAATCAGCACAAGCAGTAACTTCCGAGCAACATGATCTGTGTGCTGAGGAAATGTACGAGGAAGAGCGTCCAATTTGTCTGTTCTTTATTACTACTTGTATATCTTGCATATTTCTTAATCTTTCATCAAATCTAATAACTTATGCATATTCATCATACCGAAATGGACCGTTTATGATTACAAATACAGTATTCAAATATCATCAATACAGAAAAATAAATTACATTTCCTAAGATCCATTTAAAGCCAAGGTTTCAGAACAGAGTGCTTCATTAGTACCATGTTATATCGTTCTCTTCTCCTGCACATTTAATGGATAAAATTTATCCCATGCCTCCTGCACTGTCATTGTGTTTCTAAAGGCCTTCATAAATGCTCTTTACTGGTTATTTTAATTAGAAAAAAGTACTTTAAACCTTACTACTTGTTCTGCTGGAAAACATCATTTGACAGGACAGTCTTCTGAAAGAATACTATCTGGCCATCTATATGCATGCACGTATCACTCTGCATATTTTCTTTTGAACTTTTGAAATAATGGACTTCTCTACCTCCTCTCTATTTCCCCTCAGGGCTCACACTTGTTTCAATCGTCTGGACCTTCCCCCTTATCCATCATTCTCTATGCTATATGAAAAACTGTTGACAGCAGTTGAAGAGACAAGTACTTTTGGACTTGAGTGATGCGCAAACCACAGTGCCCAGCTCTTTGGACTTTTGTGGATCTGCCTTCTCAAAGAACGAATGAACGTTTGTATTGGATTTCCTAGAGGAAAATTGTTTTATGATGCAATTCAAATAATGAGGTTCCATGAAAGAACTTATGAAGCAATTATAAAGCGTTGTGGTAGTGGCAGAATTCTCTGCAGTGAATCTAGAGTGTGCCTGAAGTGCAGGGAAAAACAAGTCTTGCAATCCACACTTTTTCAGGTCGGCCAAACTTGTTACATTTTATTTTCTAAGCAAACAAGAAATGTGTGATCCGGTGTTGTGATCAACCTGACTACTGCAAAACTGATGTGTACCTGAAAACTGGATTTCACCAGAGTTGCTGAATAGAAAATTCAAGTCAAAATGTGAAATCATTCAGGCCCCCACCTACTCAGTAAATTAGCAAAAAATCATACAATATACTTTTTTTTTTTCTTTAAGACTATTCATGAAGGTACATTACTTTATGCCATATGTTATAACAGCATATTCAGTACTTGCTATACCTAAGACTACAAATGCCTGCATGGTGTGCACCACAGAATTCAAGTTCCTGTGACAAAGTGAATTGGAAGGAAAGTCAGTAAGAAAGGATGCAACAATAATGGCTTGCATTAAGGAGGTTTGTGGAAATGTGTTTGCCAGTGCTGTATATGACAAAAGATGAGCTGTTAAATGAACTTAATAACTTCATAAAATCAGACTGATTTTATGGTTTGTACTGCATGGAAACTATTTTAAGAAGAAACTAGCAATTTATCGCAGCATATCAGGAAAAAAAAATCCTAACACAGTGACTTCTGTTTATTTTTATAGGCTCATTGTATTACATTTCTTAGAGTGTACACAGGAAACAAACTAAAATGCTCTTTCTGTTTTTGTCACTTTCCATGCTTGAACAGACATTCTGCTAGTGTTTATTCTTTGAGCACTATCAAAGGAAAAAATAAAGCCTTTTTATTTTTATAAGAGTAAAAAACTCCCAAAAATATTTTGCACTGAATGTACCAAAGTTGATGGGACATTACGATCTGACTGACAGCAAACTGTATCACTATCAAGTATCTATAAAAACGCTTAGGAACCAGGCTTTCTTCACAGTGCCATGTCTATAGATATCAGGACTGTGCACATAAGTAATAATTTTATAATACTATATGTGGTATCGTAATATGCATTTATTTTAAATGCATCCGGATCATTTTTCATGCATTGGATAACTTAATGCAGTGGAGTTTAATACAGATATTTCATATGCTCCCCACAACTTTTTATTTGTACAGCACCATGAAACACTAGCTCATTTGGAAATCTATGAGTAACCTACTCTAAGGTGAGTCACTGGCCATAATGCCGCTGTTCATATCAATGAACTGCAATATGTAAAGTGTTCATTGTGTCTTGCCTTTTCACTGATAAATAGTTTTCTTATAAAATGTTATTTGAAAGAATTTTTATGGCATATCAAACATTGCATGGACAGATTTCCTCATGCTTAATTTTGCTGAAATACACAAGGCTTGCTTGCATCTATTTTTGGTACTTTCCTCTAGATGGTCTTGTGGAACACGAATGCGGCTGAGCACTCGTTCTTGTACAGCTGCTGCAACGCAGTGCGTCCACATGTTTTAAATTCCAGGAAGTTGCACGTGGATATTGGATGACAAGAACATCAATCTAGCTTTGCGCTAGTCGTCTTGGTAGCACTGAAGCACAGCACGCCCTGTTTCGTGGGAACAGTAGCCTCTGAAGTAAACTTAATGTTCTCGCTTTGGAGACTCTTGAAAGGGCATCTCAGGGAGGTATCCTGCTTGTTCCTGCGGGAGTGTTTTTCCTGTGGCGGTGAATGTCAGCGGAGGTGTTGTCAGCAAAGACTGCCATTCCACCCTCCAAGTTGGAAGGCAGGTGCAGCTGTGGTGGTGGCTGCAAAAACTGAGGAAACCCTTCAGGCTTCCTGAGAAAGTGTTACCTGTGCAAAGGAAACCCCACTTGCAAAATCAGAGTGAAAGCATCCTTTGATTTCAGGAATAATTGAGCTTCTGCATGACATCTGGGACTTTGTTACCTAAGTAATGTAGGTTTTCCTGCTCTACTTCTGGCTGGCATGAAGTAGCAAAGAAAAATCCAAACATCTCCCTATTTTTACACATATATTTATCAGTCTTTGCTAAAATTGCACGTAACAGATGCTAATGCACACCTTTTTTCAGAACAAGGATGAGCGAGCAGTTGGCAAACTGACTTTTCATCAGGTCACTCCAGCATGGCTCATGTTCCATATGATCCATTCACTGAGTAGCTAAAACTCAGGCACTCACATCAGAGTGCAACTTTTGCTCGGTTGAAGGACTGCAGAATCTTGATTTTACACTCCTGTGTTACCTGTGGTCTAAAAAGGAGATTTCCCAGGTGGAAACTGTATCTACGATTTTTGAACCAGAAACTCTTTGGAATGAAAAGTTTAAAGTATTTGGCACAAAGTAAGTTTATACTAGTCTGCCTTTAAGTTATGCTTTTGTACAAATCAAGAAGAATAAATGAATTTGTCAGTTTTTATTTAAATATATTTACCGCACCTATTTGTTCTGTGTTTATGCATACATAAATAACTGAAATCAGTCACGATGATCCAGTATTCTGTAAAGATGTGATAGGATCAACAGCGGGTCAGCGGTCAAAAGAAATCTGCAACCCATGTAGCATTAAGATCCAGAGAGACTGAGAAGCTGCTTCTTGCTCTTTTGCAGCCAACATCACCTGGAGGACTCTCAAGAAATCCTGTTTGAAAGTGATGAAGAGATAGCTGCCCAGATACAGCTACCTGTTCTGCCTTGAGCACGTGGCTGGATCTCAGTGATTATATAGGCAGTGCAGTTGCTCTGAAGAGATAAGCAGGGAGGGTGTATAGAAAAGGAAGCCTGACCTTTGTCAGACCAGTATGTCTCCTGGCTATGGAGTGGAATATTCTCTCCTCAGTGTGGGAAGCCTTTCCCATTGAACATGTCCCAAGGTGATAGACAACTTTTGTGTCCTGCAGTTGCAATCAGCAACCAGAGTGCTTTAGCTTATGTCACGCTGTGGCAGGCACAAGGGGCCAGAGTAGAGAAAGATGAAGAAGCATTTCCAAAATCTCTGTACTTCCTCAGAGATTTTCCAGACAGTGCTAAGCAGCTTTCCACTTAGGACAGGAAAAAAGCTAGTCTTCAAGTGAAGTAGACAAAAGATTTCCTTCGGCTACCATGTGATGACAACTTGTACTAACTTCACCTACAGCATCTCCACCAGACAAAGTCTGGCTGGGGAAGCACCCGCAGCGTTGAAGTGAGGTGCCCATGTTTCCTGCTCTGCCAGGAGGCTGAGCCATGCACTGCTAGCCAAAAAGCAGCCACAACACTCCTAAATACACCGGGAAAGCTTATCAACATGGACTTTATCCAATGTGGTGCCTACTGGAGCAAGCAGTTACCCATCCAAAAGCTGCAAGCCAGCATGCTTACTGTTAGCAGTGTTTTCACCCACAGCAGGTGAGAGATGTCTGTCTGTTACCTTTGTAACACCTTCAGCAGCACATCGCAGGTTATCTTGTGAAAGTATTCTTTCAATCCAAAATAAAATCCTATTTAACACAATTCTAATCAAGAGCAAACCTTTCCCCCCACTCTCTATCTGCTGTTTTCCTTGGTATTCATCAAGCCCCTTTCCTTGCTTTTAAAAATAGTTTTTGTTGTCCATGTTGTGAACCTACCATAAAAAGGTGTTAATAATGCTTAGAGAGCATCTAGGATGAAATCTGTCTGTGTATGCAGGTGTGCTGGGCACACCATGAACTCCACATTAAAGCTGTTAACCTTAGTGAATATATGTAATCTGTAGGGAAACTGAAAATCGAGGCAGCAGCATTCTGGCAGGACATCAGATGAAGTTTCTGGCATGAGATAAACTGGCAGTGGACTGGCAGTTTGCTCAGTTTCAAATTATAGGAAAGAAAGCAGTTTTGTGGTTTCCTATGTATTTTTAATCCTTTTTAAAAGTCAAAAAAAAAAAAAAAAAGGCTTCCTTCTGAAGCACTGGTATCATCTGGTTGCTGACTCTAATCTCAGCAGTATTAATTGCAGATGTAAAGTTACTCCAGTGCTATCTGCAGAGGTTTCTGGAGATGTGTGCAAGCACCCTGTCTCTGGAGTGAAGGAATTCCTGTGCACAGAAGGGGAATCTCTGGCAGCTGTGCTTGAATCGCCTGTGTAAGTTCATTTCCCATGGCATAAAGCAAGTTAATTCTTTTTAGTGATTGAAACTTACTTGTATTAAATTATACTAGCAGTTACATTTTCTTGCCACTGATTTTAAGCGGAGGATGAATCTATTCCTGTTAGCACTAATGGGAACTGGGCAATAAGGATGGTCTCCAGTCATAGTTACAAACTTAACCGCAAGAGTGTTAATGTTAACCTTGCAGTATTAATGCTCGACCATCACTGCTATTTTCCCTTCTCATCCCTTCCTCCCTGGGCAAGCAAATTGAACTCTAAGCAAAATTTCAGAATAATTACTCAGACATGGCTTCTCAAACGGTAGCATTTTGGCTTTACTACGCAGTCTGAAACAGAACTGCTGAAGTATTAGGGGCTGATTAGCTCACCAATTGCAAGTAAAAAAAACCTTTACAACTTTATTAGCATAGTCACAGTGGCTGCTGTTGGACTAGTCTAATGTTTTACTTAAATATTTTACAATGAAAAAAGCATAAAGCATTGAATTTGAAATTCCTTGCTTTCAGGGAAAATAAATATATGTTAAGTAAGTAGTAGGGGGAGAGAACCTTATCGTAAATCCATTAAGGTTAAAAGCCTTTTTACGACCCATTTTTGCTACTAATATGCAAAATTATAAAGCTAGCCATATAAACACACAGTTTTCACGGAGTGTGTGTGTTGGTTTACTCAGTTGCATGTAGGCCATTAGCTTCACAGTGCTCCTGTTTGGCTTCAGACTGGTGCAAATGCAGCAGACGTCTAATATTTCAAACATTCAGTGCTATGAAAAGGTTTTTATTAAAGCATTTCTAGTATTTTCTAAAATAGTTTTACTGGAAAGAAAAGTATTGTTCAGGCTGAAACTTCATTTAGGGCTCTACTTTACAGATTTTGCTCAGTGATGTTATGCCGTAGGTACTGTAAGATAAACTCATGATTAATTTTAGAGTTCTGATTAAAATCAGTGACATACTGACAGTTTTGTCACTGCTTAGAAAGACTACTAACTGTGGGTAAAGGATGACAGTCAGGGACTCCTCTGAATGGCTACAACGCATGGTAGTATCTGTATGTATTCAGAATGCAATTACAATATTTCCTGAGGGCTATTGTGAAAGAATTACTGCGCTCATTAATCACCCCCTTCTAAATTGATAATTGGAATTTTGAACTTGATTCCTTTATGTACCAAGTGCAGTCAGATTACATTGCAAATGTAACCTGTACAAAACAAATACAATTGTAGATGCCTTCTGATGATTCTCCTAAACTCATGGTGAATGTGAAAGGAAGCCAAGCTGTTTCCTCTAATCCTAGATTCCTTTAAAACTCTTCCGAGTAATGAAAATTCTGGTATTTTTTGTTGTTTTTCCAGTTTGTGTTTGTTTGTTTCTAACTTCTAGAAATTTCTCCTTCGGCCCCTACTAGAAAAGGCTCTGTCTGCCTTAGAGGGTTTTTACTAAGCACTCAGGAGTATATTGTTCCACTAATTTAACATAGTTTTGTGCTGACATCAATATAATCAGTTTTTAAACATAGAGACCTACAAAACTCCATAGGACTCTGGTCTCCCTTATGCTGGGCTGCCTTCCAAAGGCTGGCCGTCCTCTCCTTTTTAATTGCACATAATCCTGCAATCACCTGGAGACAAATGCTGATGGCCTACATTGACTGTAACTATAGTATCAGAGTGAGATTGTGGTGGTATTTATTTTTTCCATCAAGAATGAAACTGGTCTCCTTTGCAATGAGAGCCTTCAGTACAAAGAGTCGATGGGATTGTAGTTCCTCTCACACTGTGAATAGTTGAAGAAAAAATATCTCTTAACCCAGTAGTGCTAGATGTTTTCTGGAAACCGGGCATGTGATTAGGTATCCAAGGGTCAAATGTGCTTTGACTTCAGTTTTGCCAAGTTCATAGCAAGGCAGGGGATTTTTCCTGTGATATTTTCTGTTGACAGAATCGTCCAATTCTCGTAAGCCGCTTCAGGCTGTTGGCTGGCAGCACAAGCCCTCACAGGGACACAGGTGAGCGTGGATCCAGAGGTCATGGCAGAGGGGGAATTGTTTTTGTAGTGAAGTCCGTGCCTTCCACGGATGGAGGGTTTGTCATACAGCCCTTCAACTGGTTTCTTCCAAAGGGTGTTTTCACACCTCCATTGCCTGTTAGTTGCAGTACAAGCAGCTCCTCACATATTCTGTTGACTATTCAAAAGCTCTTGTGTTAAATCAGGAGAATTACAATTTTTTCATAGTTAAAAGTATTCATCTAACAATAGAAATCTGGCCAATGAAAAAATACTTTGCTGAGACATCATATTTGATGGTCGTGCTGACTGTAGTCAGACATTGGAGCTGAGATTACTGTATGAATAAGCAAATAAATCTCTGACGCCTCATAAATAGTGCTAAGGAAGGAATGTAATTGTAGGTGCTGTAATGATAGATACAGCACTTCTACAACATGTGAAATGGAGCCGTGGAACAGTGCTAGGGTGGCGACAAGACTGAAAGAGTAGGGACAGGAAAAGGACTGGACTTGGAAATAGCTAGTGGGGCAGTGAGCTGTGCTGACCACTGGATGTACAAAAGGAGATACTTTTAGCTTGAAAATTAGGCTATGATAATGTACCAAGGAAAAATGACTATTTATCCTGAAATAGGTTACTGTTTCTACCACTGGAAGGCATGTTTTGGGTGATTATTTCAGGTTTTGAAAATCTAAAGCACACAATCTGAAAACCATTTTCTGTTTTTGTTTATTTCTTGTTTTACTTTTTAATTTATTTTTTTTTAATTTGACTGCTCTCAGGAAAATGAAAGCTTCTAAATAAGGGTCGTGTCTGGAAGTCCTTTTTAGCTGGTTTTACAAATAATTATTGTGTTTACTACCAGCTGCATTTGGCAAGAGAAATAGTATCTGTTAAAAAGTTAAATCATCACTACTTAAGAGGGCTTTCATTTTAAATGTGATGGGCCAAACCCCAAACATTTAGCTGTGTGAAAACGTAGTTTGTTTGTTTGTTTTTTTTATGTTTGAGTTTTGTGTTAAGGTTGTGTATGAACTATGAATTTCCACTAAGAGTTTTTTGTCATTCTGGGATTGATGTGAAGTTTCTAAAGGTTATTTAAGATAATAAAACTATTCTCAATTATCTTGTTAGCTTTGGCCAAGCCGATGCAAGTCTTGAGTTCATTCACACTCTAGTGACATTGTCAGAAAAAGTATCAAGTAAGAGGACAGGAAGAATTTCAAGACCTGGTCTTCTACCTAAAAGCTGACCTGGTTCTTTACCTAAAAGCCAAGACGATTGGATATCCGAGTCTGGTATAAAAGTCAAAAGAAGAATTCCTTGCAAGTTTTCTTCTTCAGCGTGGTAACTGAGGTGGAAGAGTTTCATGTAAACTTAAGTCCTAAACTAGAAGACATTTAGTGTGTTGGACCACAATGGTTCAATAGTTCCATAGAGCAGGACATTTTCCTGCAACGAGTCTGCAACACTCAGGAGACTGCTGTTTATTATCAGCATTGCAGGGAGGAAGACAAATTATAATAATATGAAGTATGTATATCATCTTAGGAGGATGCTTTTTCTTTGTACTCTGTTTTTCCTTGGAATGAAATAGCCTTGAGGGCATCCACAAATCCTGATCAGCAAGGCTGCTTTTTGTATAAGTGATTGAACATTTACACTCATAAGGCTTGGTACAGTATGGAAGGGGAATACTTTGTAGAAAAGAAGGTCTTGAGGGATGTGGTGTAGAGTACTGGCTCCCCCAGGTCAGTCAGTATTCTTGCCCTTGCTAGGCTATGTTTTGGGTTATTGAGCATGTTTGAAAGCGCATATAGTTTTACAAGTTTTTGTAGTGGGGATGCAGGCATCCAGAATCTAACAGGTATATAGGTGCATCTCCCTCATTTTTGACAATTACTTGATATAATTTTATACCAAGTTATTTGTTTTTAAAGAATTTCAGGCACTGAGAATATAGAGTGCATATTTATTTCTAAGCTTTAAGTAGAACACGTGGTGTATTTTTTAATCCTTTCCATATGTTTCAGTTAAGTGTTCACAAGACTATATATCAAATACAATACCAAGTTTTTCTATCTTTCTACAAGCTGATTTGTTTCATCTGAATTTGGTATATGTCTTTCACAAAACACTAAATGGGGAAAATGTGCTTCAAGCATTAAGATGGTGTATGTCCTTTTCTCCGTTTACATTGCATCACATTTCACTTTTTTTCTTTGAGGCAGAGAGAGCAGATATGAAATGTGTTGAGTGTTTGACAGGCATTTTGTTGTGCCTGGCTTCAAGGATTGTACTGTAATGTTTGACTGCTCACACATTCACATAATTATCTACTCAGTTGAATACAGGACTGCTGTGTTGTATTTCCTGTTATTCAAAAACAATTGGGGAAAAGATTTTTCTGTGTATAATTTTATTTTCGTACTGATCTCTATTTTGTTTAAGACCATGTTTCATCATGAAATCACTTAATTAAAATAAATCTTCTTACAAAATCCACTTTAGAAATCAATTATTTTATTGTGCCTCTGAATACGTCTTAACAGTGTTTAAATGAGTGCCTTTCACTTCTGTGTCATTTTGTGTCCTTTGCATCAGTTTAAGACTTGTGGAGAAACCACAGGATAGTTTTTCTTACATCGCCTTTTCTAAGGGACTTCTGGTGGCCCAAGGAGTCTGGTGTGTTACGGCTCATCATTTATAGCAGAAACAGTAAGGATTCTCCAACCATATGCAACAGAATTTGAACAAGAACATTTGAAACAAAGGCTATCATATGAATTCAACAAAGAAGCAGACTACAGTCAAGATGTTGGAGAGGCCCAGGCTGCACAAAAAACTGTGCTTTTGTCTGGAGTATCAGAATGAGCAGCAACGTGCTTTACGACAGTGGATTAACACAGAAAAACACTGTGTTTTCATAGGGAAATATCTTTAGGGAAAAAGGTATTTTTCTGTCTTTCACAAAAGTCAGTGCCTCCCACTAAAGATTTCTTCTTACTTTGGGAACAGATTATACTAGCTAGTGAGGCAATATCGGTCTTTATTCAGTACTTGGCTAAGAGTTCACCCACCAAGGCGCAGGCCAAGTAGGCCTTTGCTCTTGACGGGCAAGTTGTCACTTCTCCTATGTTACAGTTTTTATGAACTCTTTTTAGAATCAAATATGCAAGTATATTTCTATTATTTTAAACTTTCCTAGACAGTAATTTTGCAGTATCTTGCTGCTAGTGGAAATGAAGTGCAAGCTAGCCTAAATCATTAATTGGGAGCTGCTGTGGGAGGAGGAAAGGCTTTGATAACCTTTCTGCCCCAGCTCTCTGTTGTACTTCTCAATTCTAGGTTCATAATACAGTTCATCGATACCTGATGCCATGTATCAAACAGTTGCACATTTTTCTCTCAGTGTGAAGAATGGTGCTTGTATAGATCTCGTGCCATGTGACACTGAGGCAATTCTGCTAAGCATTGGTGAAATACAGAGACTTTGCCTTTTGGTACTCATTTCCTATGTGCAAATGTGGTGGCATTCTTGCAGAGATTTTGATACAGAAAATCTGTAAATGATCTGTATTGAATACAGTCATGATAATCCTTATTGATTGGCGAATGTTTGTTTTCAATGGTTGGGTCATTTCCAGAACTGACCACTGTAGATATAGCAGGAGATAGTGTACTGATTCTGTGGGGCCTGTTGCAAAATGTCCTTCTGTGGTTTGAGTATTTCATGTTTTAGTTGGGTATTTGGGATCAGTGAAGTTGCTTCAGCAATTGGTGCTCTTGTAGATGTTTGGGATGTAGATAATCTCTATAGGATAGTGGGTTTTGTTGTATGGTTTGGTTGTTTTTGTTTTTGATTATTTTATCCTCGCAGAGAGAAACACCATTCACTGTCAGTTAACTACAGGAGTACCACTCCTAAGACAGGCAGCTTTACGCTATAATCTGAGAGGCATAGAATCAGCACATTTTTTGGCTTTCCTGCCCTGTGTGGTGTTCTGGCGTGCCAGCTCCATGCTCTTCTGCCAAGCAAACAACCACGGGTACTTCGCACAGCAACGATCACCCACTCTGCAGGCAGATTTGCTGCTGATGTTTGAAGGTTGCAAGTAGCAGAGGGAACATGTAGAAGACATGGATCTTTTCCCATGACTTTTGAATTTCAGGACACTGAAAGTGCTCAGGTAAGGTTTCACATGTCATTGCTTTACTTAAACATGTACTGCCCTGTGGAATGGCTTGATTATTAAATTAATCTTTTGCCTCGTGTTTTTTTGAGGCCTTTCTTGTGCCACAGATCAGGGTATTGCCTTGTTGATGTCTTGTTAAAGAAGCTATTACAAACAAGTTAGAAAAGAAGGCTCAGACATTCACAGCTTCCATCTATGTGACTCTTAATGTTGTCCACTTGTCTTCCAATCCAGAAAAAAGTTACTTGCTGTCTGTTTGCACCAAGTTAGGTTGGACATGACAGGTCTGAGTTGAAATCAGCACTTCTTGAGGGAACCAGGCTTTTTCCCAACAGTTAGTTTCCTAAATGACCTATGGCTCTGAACTACATAAGCTGTATGTCATTGTCCTTACCAAATGAAAAATGGACCAAGAGAAGTTATTTCCATGAATGTCTCTGAAGACTTTAAAAAGCCAACTTCATAATCGATAGATAATTAAGGAATGCAAAAGAAAATGTGTTAAGAATGGGAATCATGAAGCTAATACATTTGGGATAATTAAAAAATATCAATTAATGACCAGATGCACGCATTAGTGATAAGTATAGCTCATGAACCTGTGCTGCTTAGCCTTCACCTTACCATTCCCCCTTCTCCACCCTTTGTCATTCGCTGTGGTATTGTATCTAATTAAAATTCCAAAGTCCTCAGGGTGGAGTCCTGCTAATTATACCCTTGTCTAAGTGCCACACATTTCTATGACATTATATAAACAGATAACTAAGACTACAATAACATGCCCCTATCACAAAGTGTTTTTAGTATGTATTTGGTTTTCAGGACTTAAGGGGAGAGTAGAGCAGTTCCTGGCCTTGCAAGGATTGGTAACGACACACAAACAGCTAAGGAGACAAACAAAAGCACTGTCATTTACTTTTTGGCACCAAGTGCTATAATAACCTAAAGCATCTTCATTGCAGTCAGAATTTAATTTTACTCTTGTGGATCAGTCGGTATGTTCAGAATGCTGCTTTTCATACCACACAAAGAATGCTTCTCAACAGAACCGATCTTTTCTATGTGTATTTTTATTCTATTTGGCAAATCTACTTGAAACCGTGTTAAAATGAACAAAAGGGTATGGTTTGGAACTTTGCAGGGATGGTAGAGCTCTGTAGGACAGAAAAAAGATACTAGACTTCTTTGTCAAAAACTTCCATAGTACAAAATGCTAATAACTTAGATGGAAGCTCAAGTGAGTTATGCTAGGGCTGCTCAAGTGAACTGCTAGTTAAGCAGCTCTTGCTCTCTGTAGATAAATCTTATTGTTTCAGTTGTGTGGTATAACATATTCCAAAGTCTTCAAAAATGCTTTCAATTTTCCCAAATTACGTGTCTCATCTTTATTTACGTTACTTCAGTGTGAATCTAGCCGTCGCCGTGACAGCATGACCTGGGCACAGCCCGCTCCAAGCACACGGCGATTACCCGTGGCTCTGGTGGTCACAGCATAAACAGTATTAACCCAGTAGCTCTGATGGTGCACTGCTAAAATTAAATTTATAGCTCATAAATTCTTATGTTACAGTACTATTACTGCCTTCACGGCAGATTTATTCTAAAGCGGATGCCTGCACGTTTCTGGGGTGGCTGCTTGGATTGCTTCTCAGAGGAAAGCGATTTGACAAGCCAGAGCCAGCTATTTCAGAGCTCTAACTTCAGTTTATTTCTGAAGCGCGTTTAGGGCTACTCTTTGTGCTCAGACCGGGCCTTTGAACCCCGAGTTAACGCGGTTTAGCTCCTCCCCAGCGTCCCCCCGCTGTCAGGGGGGGGCCGAGCCGCTCCTGTGAGGGTTGAGGCCGCCTCAGCCCGGCCGCCTCAGCGGCGCGAGGGCAGCCGGGCGGGGGCGCTGCGCGGCCTGGGGCGGGCGGCGCCTGACCAATCGCCGCAGAGACGGCCGGCCCCGGCGGGCTCGGATTGGCTGCCCGCCGCCGCGAGTGGGCGGGGCGAGCGGGCGGCGCCGGGGCCGCCAGCTCTGCCGGGCTGCGCTTTTCAAACGCCGGCTGGGCGGGCGCGGCGGTTGGCGGGGGCGCGCGGCGCGGGGGCGGCCGCCGGCCTGTGAGGGGCTCGCCGGGCGTGAGGTGAGGTGAGGTGAGGTGAGGGGGGATGGGGCGGGGGGCGCCGGCCCGTGTCCGCCTCAGGCCCCGGGGGTGCCACAGGGCGGCGAGTCCGGGGCCCGGCCGTGTTGCGCTGAAGGGAGCGAGGGCCGGGCGGTGACACGTAGCGCCCCCCCGCCCACCTGCAGCCGCCCGCTCCAGGGGTCTTGCGCCTTCAGCCGCCTGCCTGCCTCCAGCCGCGGCTGCCGAGGGGTCTGGTGCGCTGCATCGGCGGTGCTGGTGTGGCTTTTGGTTTGTCGGAGCTAAGGGGAGTTTGAAAAGTCGGGTCGCGGTGCCTCGTTGTGGGTTGCTGCCGGTTGCGGATGTGCTCGTGGGTTTTCTCCGTGACGCCAACCTGAGCAGAGATGCGGCTTCTTACCGGAGAAACAAGGCTAATTCAGCATAAGGCAAAAGTTCACCTTGATCGTAAAACTGTGAGAGTAACAACATGATGAAACCTTGCTTAATAGGTGTAATAACAGCAAGCTCCTAATCAGTTTGTTCGCATATAATAAAAATGTTTGAGCTCGAGTCCTGCAGTAGCAAGGTAACTTTAGCTGTTGATCAGTATTTAGTGAGTACACCTCAAAGAAGAGTGTTACAAAATTTCAACCCCCTGAATCGGTAGATTAAATGATAAACTGCCCTAGAATTGGGGAGAAAGAAATGCGTGTTTGTTCCAAAAAGCTGATTCAAGGCCATGCATGTTAGACTGTGTTGTGACCCCTCGATAAATTCTTAAATCATGCTTATCAAACGCAACTTAAAAATATTTTTGAACGGTGTAGGTCCCTGTCCCCTGCTAATCATGGTTTAAATCCAAAATAGTTCCAATGTGAATAATCATGTTCCAAGAACTGTGGATTTGAGCACTGTTAGATGGGAGCTGGAGTGCATTTGAAACATTACTAGTTCGAGTGCTCCCCCAGAAGTTTTTGATAGTACACTGCTTTCATCTGAAAACTGGAAGGTTTTTTAATGTTTGTTAACTGTATCTGCTCTGTAATGTGCCTTTTTTTTTTTTTCTTTAATAACAAAGGAAACCTCTTTACCTTGAAATAAACTGTCAATTAGGAATGCTGTTATCCTTCAGTATCCTTCTTCTGCTTTGCTCTTACGGCACACCTGGAGAGATGCTTCAGGCCTTTAAATGTGAATGCCAAAATCCAAT